ACATCTGTGGTGAGGGTTACATTACCGACACCAACAATCTTGCTGGTCACTTGATTTCCCATCTTCACGACTCCAAAATCACCACCTCGGTAAGAGGAGAAAAAACCTTTGTGTGGAGTAACGTGGAAGGAGGCACCGGAGTCAACAATCCAGGTGCAATCATCATATGCAACATTCAAATAATTATCCTCACCAAGGAGGAATATCTTGGCATCTGGGTTGGCAGCCACTGCAGTGGTGCTCTTGTCTTCCCTCTTCTTGGGAATAATCTGATCTGGCTTCACAAAGTCGTTCTTCTCATCATTCTGCAGGGTCCAGCAGTCTGGCTTCTTGTGACCTGTCTTTCCACAGTAAAAGCACTTCAACTCATATCTCGGCTTTGACCGACCTCTGGACTTTCCTCTTCTATCACGATCTCGACTCTGACTCTTGTTTCGTCCTTGGGAGTCGGATTTCCCTCTGTTCTCAGCAACGTTGGCCTCAGACGTGCTCGAAATACCTCGTTCTCTTTTTCTGGCTTCTTCGCCCAAGAGGCTGTCTGTCACAACATCCATCTTCAATTTTCCATCTGGAGTCGAATTATTCAAGGTCACCACCAGAGTATCCCAGCTTTCTGGCAGCGAGCTCAACAGCAGCAATGCCTGCATCTCGTCATCAATTTTTATCTCAACCTTTGACAGCTGATTCACAATACCTTTGTAGGTGTTGAGGTGTTCAATCATACTCATGATGTCCTTGTATTCAAGCTTCACAAGTCGGCAAACTGGTGTGCTTTGTTCCTGAGAGTCTTCTTCTGAATCATGGACTCCAGCTTCGTCCACAACTCGTACGCGTTCGTGAACTCGGACACGTGCTCAAAAAGGCTCTTGTCAAAGTATTTTCTGATTATAGCTACCGCTTTACGACTCTGAATCTGCCACTCCTTATCGGTTTTCCCTTCCGGTCTCTTATCAAGGATAATGGGCTCTTGTAAATCTTTGCAGTATAGATGATCTTCCATCATCGGTCTCCAATAGGTGAAATTGTCTGCAGTCAGCTTGAACATGTCTCCATCATTGGTTATGCCACTGGTCTCCATCTTGTCTCCTGCATAACCCGTCGAACTCGGGCTCTGATACCACTGTTGGGAACTCGGTTCCCTCAAACTCGGCTCAGGGGCCTTTCTTTGCGGAAGTCAGTCAGCAAGATCCTAATCTCGGATCTCGGCAATACCTCGGCCTGAATTTCACCAGGTCGAGCAGCGCAGCGGAAATTAAAACAAAAAATCTCAAAATAGGAGAGAGAGAAGGAGAACACAACTAGATTTAACGTGAGAAAACCTTCTCCAATGAAGAAGTAAAAGCCCACGGGACCTAGTCCAGATCAAAAAATTCACTATGAAAATAATGGTTATAAAGAATTAAATACACCAATGTGGTGGTTAGCTCAAACTTTTCAATAATGGTGATAATCAAACTACCCTAGAGATGTTTCACTCATACTCTCTCTAGAGATCTCTCAAATGCAAAGCATAAAGCTTTGCTTAAACAATTTTCTCTCAAAAATCTAATCTCTCTCTTCTAACCTAGCATCCACCCTCAACTAATGAATATATAAAGGAGGTGGAATTTAGGGTTTAAGGTTTAGGGTTTTTGGGAAACCCCTCAATGGGATTGGGCTTAGCATTGAAGGAGGAAGCCCAACAACTTTTTTCTTAATATCTTATATGTGCTAAAATATGGTGTATAATTGTGAAAGATTATGTACTATAGGTTGCTTAGACATATTAGTGAGATTTTCACATATTAATGTTTTTATGAAGGGTTCGTTTTTTCTGTAGTTATTGCAGATAAGTTATCTGCAGTAAGCCTAATACGACGTCGTTTTGGGACGGAAATCATGATGTTTTTGTAATTTTAATTTATTTCAGGATTATTATAGTCTTTATAATTATAATTTTTTAATTTTTCAATCCCAAAACGATGTCGTTTTGGAAGTAAATGCAGATAGGTTATCTGCATTAACTGCAGAAATATTTTTTCCTTTTACGAAATTGAAATTTAGAAACAATAATGACTTTTATGAAAAAATTGTAATACTCAAATTCGTCCTATCTTGAGATTAAGTCACATTAATAAAAAGAATTTAAAAAACTTACAAACTTTAAAAAGAAAAACCATATAACAATTATAATATAATAACTTTTGGCTTATTTGGTGGATATGATATAAAAGATAGTATATGATAGAATATGATATCATGGTCTTATCAATTGTTTGGTTAGATAACATCACATAATAAGCTTAATATGTTAATAACATTTTCCCATTCTTTTACAAGATATATATACTAGCACGAGTTATTGACAAGCCGAGTTTTGGTTATATTTTGAATATACACATATATTTTATTATTTTTAAAGTTTATAATCAATTTTTGCTATTTTTTAAACTTTTTAATTAAGTTTTTAAATTCTAACCTAATATTTATTGGCTACGATGGGAAAAATGTGTATCATTTTAAAGGACATAAAGTTTTGTCATTTTAAATGAGAGAAAGAGATAAATCATAGGAGAAAAAATGAGTGAAAAAGTTTTAAAGATGTGAGTCCCACTTCTTTGTAAGAGTGAAAGAATATAAGATGTGTCATTTAAAATGACACAATTTTTTCCCTTGTTCTAATAGTAAGAATTCAATTATTTAGGGAAAAATATTTATCATTTTAGGAAATAAATTATTATGTTATTTTAAATAATATAATTGTGTTTTAAGATAAGAAAGATTTATAACGGAATGAAAGATCATTATTGAGGGAGAGTGGAAATTAAATAAATAATTTTTTTAATTTAAATATTAAATAAAATATTATAGTTTCCACTAAAATGATATAATATTTTTTCTTTAAAAAAGAAAAAAAATTCCAATAAAATTAATTATACTTTTTAAACTCAAAATAAATATTTCAAATATTTGTTTACCAATTTTTTTTTTCAAATACTCATGGGGTGTATTGGATTGAGATTTTAAAGCATTTTAATGGATTATTTTTGGACAAAAAATCCATTGATATTCTATTAGGATTTTAAAGGATTGAAAAAAAGTTATGCGGTATTTAATTAGGATTTTAAAAGATTATTTTAGAGTCCGTCCAAATCCGATGGTATTCAATTAGGATTTTAAACAAAGGAAAAACAATCTCGTGGTAGTAAAAAATCTTATGATTTTAATTGATTTTCTATTGGTGTGGATTTCGTAAATTTTTTTAATAAGAAATATAAATAGGATGTCTCTCTCACAATCTCACTCTAACCCATAGGATTTCTTGAGACTTATCTACTTCAATGTCTTCTTCTTCCTTTGGTGGAACAACTCGCTCGAAATCGAGTTCCGCCATGGAATTTTCGTCAAAGTTCAAAAACAACAGATTTTTGAGCGATTTTCATCATAAAACAACCTAAAATAACAACCCAACAAGATTTTAAAATTCATCTAAAAAATAGCAGATTTTGGAGTAATTTTTGAAAGTTTAAAAATAATTTTTCAAGCTATTGGTCATGATTTTTCTTGGTACAAAAATATATGATTTTTGTATTAAAAAACAACATAAAATAGTGGGAAAATAGCAAGGGAACAAAAACCCCAAACCAATTTTCATTTTACCTCAATGAAATAAGATTGATTTAAAAAAAAATTGAAACTTTTATAATATGGACCCTATGTTTCATAATAATACATTTATGAATGAAATTTCTTCGCTACAGGAAATGATTTCGAATAATTTTTTTGTCAACAGATCATTAAAAAATTATTTTTTAAAACCTCTAAAGCAATTTAAGATTTCAATGTATCGATTGAAAATAATATGAGAAATTTTTTTAAACTTTCATGTAATAAAACCTAGGAATTTAGATTTAAAATTTTCTTGGAATACTCAATAAAAATATGCCTATGATATATGGTTAGAAAATTCTCATCACGTAGAACAAAAATCCTAATATTTACAAGATCAATTGCAAAAAATTTCAAATGAAAATTTATCATAAATTTTACTAATTGAAAAAATTATATTACGTTTTACTTTTTTTTATTAATATCTTTGCATTTCTTTGTTAAATTTTTTTATCGACTCTTGTAATTTTGAATATTTGTTACAAATTATATAATTTTTTAAAATCTTATAAATTCATATTGTCCTTTTAAATCTTATAAATTCTATTAAAATAAAAAATCTTTAAAATTTCTCCAATTCTGAATAGTCTTTTAAAATTCATAATATTTTTTATCTTAATTTTTTTTTTTTAAATCTTAATCCAATGCACTCTCTTTAAATTTCAATATCAACAAGTCCAAGGAGTACCCATCAAGAAAAATAAAAAAAAAATAAAAAATCAAGGAGTGACATAATCATACCTTGAGCCACTCCACTGCAGTAGAGATCGCATCCAGAGATTGATCCATGCGCAAATTTGCGCGGAAAAAACCAACACAAACTACTAACCGCCACTGATCGTTGAAATTTTTTGCCCTTTTGTTCGTTTTACTGCATAGATAGCTCCGTAATAGGTTCGCTTATAATAAATTCTTTTACATTCAGCGAATCTCGTCGCACGCTTCCCCAAAAACAACCGCGTGCCCCCCACGCTGTCTCTCATGTACCCGCGTCGCACCTGATGATTAGTCCCATTTTCTCTCACTAACACTAACCCACTGTCTCCATGCCTTGTATCACCGAGCACCTCACGGATCGGATCTGAGCAATCAAAGTATAAAGATCAATGATCGCTTCCGATCGCGACGGTTTCAAAGACCAATTCCGGTTCCATCTACGAGCCATTACTCCTTTCCCTTTCTAGGGTTCTTCTTTTCCTTTTTTTTCTTCTTCTTGTTCTCCGTAATTATTTTCGCGCTCTTTGCTATGGAGTCACGCTACAGGACCGTGTTCATGTTTCGTCTAGCGGAATTTCGAGAGCATGATTGAAATTCTGCCGTTTTACGTTGAGAAGTGGTTTTCCCCTTCCAAAATGGCAGCTTCTCCTGTCAATTTCCTCTTCGGATTCTTGCTGCTTTCTATTATATTGTGGCTTGTGTTCATGTAAGTCCACAGTTAATTTTTTATTTTTTTTTCCTCACTGCAATTTCGTGTATTCGGCAATTTCTTATTACTGTTAATACTTTATTTTTGTAAATTAAATTTCAAATGCTTGTGGCGTATGTTTAGGTCGAGATCAATTGGAATAGAGTATTTTTAGCTACTTGTCTTACACTTGAAATGGTTAGTGATGATTTAAAAGGCTTGTTTGCATGTTGAGAAGTATTGCAGTCTACAGTTGGTTGACTAAGGGACAACGCAACCGGTTAAGTATATAGTCAAAAGGGGAAGCGTTCTAGCACTTGTACTATAATTCTTGTTTTCGATGTTTATAAAGGAGTTTAAGTTATCTGGTGACTAAAATTTTGGAGAGTATTTTCTGTCATTCTGTGTCCAAGTAAAGGGAGTTACTAAGTGCTGCCTTTGGAGCTGTTGAACAGTAATATGGATGCCAATAAGTAGAATACATGATTTGACATTGAAAACATGATATCTTTTCATCAATATCCAATATCCTTTGTCTCAATAAGGGGCATTATTGTTGGTCTAAAAGACAAATCTTTTTGGAAACTAGGATGTTTGAGATGTAATGCAAAATCTGCTTCATGATGCGATTGTCTTAAGAGTGCCAAAAATTAACTCTTGAAGAAGGGAAGTTCATGAAAAAGATAAATCTTCTTTGCTAGGTGCACTTGACTTCAATCTTCTTTCTACCTCCAAGATAAGAGGGTTTGGTCCTTCAATTCCTCTGGATCTTTCACATGCTTGCCTATTTTCGAACACTTGGTTACTAGTAAAAAATTATTGTTCTTAAATCTAACCTTTTTTTGGAAGGTCAAAGTTCCCTCCAGGAGGTTAAAGTTTTGTTTGGACTTGTAGTTTTGAATAGAATTAACACTAACTCTGACATTACTTATAAAAGCTGCTCCAGGTATGCTGGACATGTTCTACATCCATTGTGAATGGTCAACACTCAACACCCAAATAGAAAGTAGTTGGGCTGTAAAGAAATAGACACCTACTTGCCCCAGAATTTTCCTACCTTGTCTTGAAAACTTCGCAAGTTTGGATAACTTGATTAAAAAAGGGAAGCTCAACGCAGAAGGCTTTGATCATTATGGAGTTTGGGGAGAATCATATGTACGTAGCTTAACCCTGTAAGCAGAGAGGTTATTTCTGCAGCTAGAACCTGTGACCAACAGGTTGCAAGGCAGAAACCTCACTGTTGCACCATGCACCAAGGTTCACCCTCTACTGGAGAGTTAGGGATGTGCATAATGTCCAAATGATCCAAACCATTTTAAAAACTGAACTAAACCAATATAAAAGACCTTTTTTTTTAAAACAGTTCAAAAAAACTATCCACTTCTTAATTATGGATGTGGTCTGGATATCCATTTATCAAATGGTTTGGATATGCTGGATAACCAAACCATATCCATTCCCCCCCTTCTTTCAACAGTTTTTCTTTAACAGTCTTCAATACCTTACACCCAAACCCGAGTCTGCTCAGTGATCTCATTCCTCTTCCTTATCCGAAGGATGTCGTAGAATTGAGTGTTGTTATACCTTACGCTCATTGATCTCATTCCTCTTCCTTATCCTAGTGTGACTGACGAGTTATCCATCGCCAAAAACTCATCGATAAGGTTCTAGGTATCATATGTGAAGCGAGAAAGACAATGGTTTAAGGTTTCGGAATTGCAGTAGTGCTCCTGAAGGCATTGATTTTAGCCTTGAGGTCGGGTAAATGGTTCCCAAAAAGGCTTTAATATTTTTCTTGTTCATTATATCATTTTGATGTTGGGGAAAGATATTTTTTATAATTTTAATTTATTTTGAGATTTTATTAAAATCATGTAGTCGAGGTAAATTTATCTTTAATAGAAATATTAAACCCTTAAATTAAATATAATATTTTTTTAAGGAGCAAAACCAAACTTAAAGATATATATTTTTTTGAAATAATAGTTTTATTTCAAAAATTTTGTGCAAAAAAAAATAGTAAATTTTTTTATTTTATTTCAAAAAATAAAAAAAAGAATTTATTATAAAACCGGTTTTGAACTTGATAACTGGTTTATAGTTCATAACCGGTTTTGAATTAAAACCGGTTTTAAATCAAAACCTGTTATTAACCATAAACCGGTTTCAAAACCAGTTTGGACATTTTAAAATCCGGTTTTAAAAAAGAAAACCAGTTTGGTTTGAAAACCAAACCGTTTAAAACTGGTTTGGTTCGGTTTTTGTCAAAACCGGTTATGAACCGCTCCATGCACATCCCTATGGAGAGCTTTATACGTGAAAGATAATTATTTGGTGTTGGAAAATTCTCAGATTTTCAAGAGTTGTTCTCAGTCTTTAGATCTTGTATGAGATGGGATTGCTTTTTATGGTCTCTCTATGGTGCTTAGTGCATGATTACTTTAAAGGCGTGTTCCTAACAGCTATGCAAGGGATTTGGGATATCTCTCTAATTGATGAGTTTGTTTCTACTTTTGATTGTTTGTTGTCTAACCCTCTTGCGTTTATCTTGCTCTTTTTCTCTAGTCACTTTTTCTTCCTAATTTTAATAAATTATCTTCTTTACATAAAAAGCAAAGAAAAAAAGCTAAATACGTAATTTTATTACACTCCACTTTCATCTTAGCAGTTTATGTTTTAAAATACATCTTATTCTTGATAGCCTGTTACTTTATTTGAGGGTAAACTTGTCCTCTATTCTTTTAGGGAGTGCCTGTTGCCATTCCAGTTCAATTAACTTATATTTAAAATATCCTTCTTCCACTTTGTTAATCACACTAATAGTTTAAAGAAATTATATAAAAGTTAATTGAATAGGAGTGGCAATTGACACTACCATTCTCATATGATCCAGAGAAATTGATTGTGACAACATGATTTTTTTTTTTTGGGAGGAGAGAGGGGGGTTTAACAAATCCTATTGTTAAGAGAAGGGTACTCAATGGGGGTGATGTCCCCCTGTGGAGATGTTTGGGAGGAGTACCCAAAATTCATCGTCAAATTATATCATATTGATGATTTTTTTTTTGCAAATTTGCCATCTTATTTGGCTTTTTGCCCTGGTACAATTGATATAACATTCTATGGTTTACAGTTTAATATTTTTTCCTATGAATAATTCCTTACAGACTTTGAACCATCATGTTCCTTGATTTGGATTATGCATCTTATTACAGATTTGCTTCTGGGTTGCTGGCTTGGATTTTGAGCCGGATTTTGGGAGCATCTGTTGGATTTCGTGTTGGTGGATGGAAGTGTTTGAGAGATGTGGTAGTGAAGTTTAAGAAGGTTTTTCTTTGCCTTCATTCACTGCCTTATTTCATTGTTTAAATTTTGAAGGCATTGTTTTTTTTTTTTTAAATGCATTTTATCAGGATTCTGTTTGAGAGAGTGAAATTCCCTCAGTGTTGGGATTTTATTGTGATATTAGACGATGTAAATATTGAATGACTAAATCGTTTTATCCCTGCCATTTTGTGTAGGTTTATCTTAAATAATTTTTCCCACCAAGTTTTCCCTCAAATTGATTCAGCCGATCTTCGTTTTCTTTATACAACTGCACCTTGTGGATCCTAGTTAAAATCCTCTGTTTTTATTCTACTGAATTGTCATTTTTGCTTCTGTTATCAGACTAATGTCTTTAAGGGCTCATGGCAATATATTCTGTTGATTTATAATATATGTACAGGGTGCTGTTGAATCTATATCTGTTGGTGAAATTAAACTCAGCTTACGCCAGTCCCTGGTCAAACTTAGTGTGGGTTTCATATCCCGGGATCCAAAGCTGCAAGTGTTGATATGCGACTTAGAAGTTGTTATGAGGCATTCAAATAAAAGCCCCGGGACAAAGAAAACTCGGAAATCCCGTGCTTCAGGCAGGGGGAAGTGGATGATTGTAGGCAATATTGCAAGATATTTATCAGTTTGTGTGACTGATCTGATTCTGAAGGTGTATATCTCTGTAAAATTGTTTTGTTCTGCTTGGATAGTGAAACACATATTGACTTTAATTTCATATGCTGCGATGTGTGTGTGTATAGAATGCCATATATTTGAAAAGGATGTTAGATCATCAAATGGAATCATTATATTAATGAATAGAATAAATTTTAACACACTGTCTAATTATAAGTTTAAACTAAGTTGTATTATATTTTCTTTTTGTTGTTTCTATTGGGATCTTATTATAATTTTTTTGTTCACTGCAAATCTCTCATGAACATTGCAGACACCAAAATCTACTGTTGAGATCAAGGAGTTGAATGTGGATATATCTAAAGATGGTGGATCCCAGTCAAATTTGTTAGTTAGACTACAAATACTACCTATTCTTGTTCACATTGGTGAACCACGGGTTAGTTGTGACCAGTTATCTAATTTAAGTGTTGGAGGATGCAGTTCTTCTTGCCAGGCATCTGTTGCTGCTATAGAAAGGTCTTCTGCTCCTTTTATCTGTGAAAAGTTCTCCGTCTCATGTGAATTTGGTCATGATAGGTATATTTCTTCTGTATATACATTCTTTTTAATATTAATCTTGCACTTGTCTGAGTGCTGGTTGGAAAAGAGGAAGTAGATTGTGTGCAACATGATCTAAGCTGTCTGGCGCGTAACCCTTACAGTTGGAAGGCGATGGATCTTTTCAAGGGAGAAACTTCAACTATAAGTGAGATCCCAATATACATATGGTGCAACACTCAGTTGTACACTAAAATAATAGAAACAAATATAGCATGGTGGAACTCATATTTTAAAATACCAAATCAACTATCAGTTTCTTCTGGTTTGGTTCACAAGTCTGGTGGTGCACCATGTGTACCTAAGAATTTTTCCATCTATAGAATATGTCAAATGGAACTTCCTTCTTAATCTAATATTTGTCTCTGGTCATCTATTGCTTTGCTTTGAAAAGAGGTTCCTTTTTATACTTGGACTTGGTTTGCAGTGCAGTTTGTGTAGAAGTCTTAGTCTTGTTATTCACAAAAACATTCACTTGTTCTTGCATTTTGTACTGCTGCAGCTGTTGTACCTAATTTTAATTTGGATACTCATTATTTTCCTGACTTCTTGTTTCTATCCTTATATGGCTAGTAGTTTAATTTTGTCTTCTTCTTTTTGGACATAGGGAAGTGGGTATAATTATTAAGAATGTGGACATTTCCAGTGGAGAGGTCACTATGAATTTGAACGAGGAGATGCTTTTGAAAAGTAAGAGTTCATCAGAGTCGTCTTCTGGCTCCAACAGTATTCTAGGGTCACATGCTGGTTCTGTGAGCATAAAAAAGCCACAAAAGAAGCAGCAAACACTTGAAGCCTTCTCCAAGTACAGTTCTATGTTTCCTGAAAAGGTTGTGAATTTAAACTTCCTGTTTCTGAACATCGCACATATTTTTTTTCTATTACTGAGGGAGAAAGAGAAAACAAATGCAAAGGATACAAAATCCTTTCAAACAACTAAAAACACAGCCAACCATGAAAGAAGCATAGGAATGCATCAATACAATAATTCAAGTATATTTTACTTCAAAGTTATCACCTATTGAAATTTGAAACTAATTTAATTTCTTTCATTATCATTCATTTTTAATTTCGTAGGGACATCGTTTATTTTGATTGGATATCAAAGGATCAGAGCTATAAAATATATTATAGTCAGCAGGACAAGCATCTTCATATATTTTGCTTGAATATATTACTTGTGTTTCTTCTTTCCTTCTAGTTGGCTTGATTGGAATTTATTCTTTTGGTTGCTCTTGATGTCTAGGGTCCTTGCCTCAATGCAAGGCGCCAGGTCATCACCTCGATTTGGTGACAAGTAGGTCAGGGTTCTATCATGCGGATAGGCGAGCGTGGCGGGCAAACACCGCCCAGTGGTTAAAGATGTGATTGGGAAGCTGTAACATGGGAAGCTGTAACATAGGAACCCTAAACCTTAACGGGTAAATTGAGGGAGTTAACAGATGCTTTTGCCAGAAGAAAAGTGAATATTGTTTGCTTGCAAGAAACTAAGTGGGTTGGAGAAAAGGCCAAGGAAATGGATGGCACCGGTTTCAAGTTGTGGTACACAGGTATAAACAAGAGTCGAAATGGTGTTGGAATTATAATCGATAAAAGTTTCAGAGATAAAGTCGTTGACGTCAAAAGGAAAAGCGACAGGATTATTGTGATTAAACTTATAGTAGGTGAATTAATTTTGAATATCCTCAGTGTGTATGCACCCTAAGTTGGATTGCAATCAAATGATAAGAATCAATTTTGGGAAGACTTGGAGGAGGTTATGAGGGAGATACCACGAGAGGAAAAGATTTTCTTAGGTGGAGATCTTAATGATCATGTTGGTAAAAGCAATGGAGGTTTAGATAAAATTCATAGAGGTTTTGGCTATGGGACGAGAAATGAGACTGGAGAAGATATCTTGAACGTTGCACTAGCCTATGATTTGATGCTAGCGAACACATTTTTCCGAAAAAAGGAGTCACATCTTATCACTTATCATAGTGGCCAAAATCGTAATCAAATTGATTTCTTCTTGGCTAGAAGAGAAGATAGGAATTCTTGTGTTGACTGCAAGGTTTACCCTGGAGAGTGTCGCTACGCAACATAAGCTGGTTGTTCTTGAGTTTCGGTTCAACAAAGTACTTAAAATGAGGAAAAGTGCTCAGAACACAAGGATATGATGGTGGAAGCTAAAGGAGGAAAAACAATTAGAGTTCAAGGAAAGGATGTTGCATGAAGGACCATGGGAGTGTGTTGGAGGAACAAATGAAATATGGAATGAGATGGCTATGTGTATCCAAAATGTGGTGAGGAGGGTGTTGGGAGAAAGCAAAGGAAATGGATTTGTGCAAGAGACAATTAAATAGAAGAAGGAATGCTTTAGATCTTTGCATAAAAGTCCCAATGATGAGAACTTGCAAAAGTTTAGATTGGCAACAAAAAATGCAAAGAAAGCAATGCGAGAAGCTAGAGGCAAGGTTTTTACCGATTTGTATAAAAATCTTGGGAGCAAGAATGGTGAAAAAGTATGAGGGATAAGAAAAGTAAAGACCTCACCCAAGTTAGATGCATCAAGGATGAAAATCAAATTTTTTTGGTAAGAGATGAAGATTTAATGAAAGATGGATGAACTACTTTAACGAACTTTTTAATGGAGATGGCGATAAAAGGGAGGTGGACTTGGAGGACGCTTATGATGATTTGAATAGAAGATTTATGCGTATAATCAATACACATGAAGTTAAGGAGGCTTTAAAGAGGATGAAGACTAATAAAGCCTTGGGACCCGATGGTGTCCCTATTGAAGTGTGGAGAGGCTTAGGGGATGTGGCAATAAATTGGCTGACTAATCTTTTCAATAAGATTCTTCATACAAATAAGATGCCTGATGCTCGGAAGAAAAATTTGCTTGTGCCTATTTACAAAAACAAGGAAGACATTTATAATTGTTCTAACTATAGAGGCATTAAGCTTATGAGCCATACTATGAAGTTGTCGGAGATAGTTATTGAACATCGTTTGAGGAGAGAGACCAAGGTTTTTATAAATCAAATTGGATTTATGCGAGGAAGATTACCACACAAGCCATTTTCTTGATGCGACAATTAATGGAAAGATATTGAGAAAAGAAGGACTTACATATGGTGTTCATAGACTTGAGAAAGCATATGATAGGGTCCCAAGAAAAGTTTTACGGTTGGTTCTCGAGAAGAAAAAAGTATCATCAAAGTATGTAAATGCAATCAAGGATATGTATGATGGGGCTACTACATGTATGAAAACTTGTAATGGAACGTCAAGTTATTTTCCTATCACGGTAGGTGTGTACCAAGACTCGACTATAATTTCTTATCTCTTTGCCTTAGTGATGGATGAACTAACAAAAGACATTCAAGAGGAAGTGCTGTTGTTTATGCTTTTTGCAGATGATATTGTGCTTATTGATAAGATCAAATACGATGTTAATACTAAACTTGAATTGTGGAGAAGCACTTTGAAGTCTAAAGGATTCATGTTAAGCCGAAGCAAGACTGAGTATATGAAGTGTGAGTTTTCTCTGGTAAGAGATGGAGATCAAGGTCAAGATGTACCCAAGAAAGATGCTTTTAGATACCTTTGATCAATTTTGCAAAAAAGTGGTGAGATTGATGAGGATGCAAATTATAGAATTAGAGCAGGATGGATGAAATGGCAAAGTGCATCTGAGTTTTTTTGTGACAACAAAATTCCCCTTAAGCTAAAAGGAAAATTCAATAGAATAGCAGTAAAGCCTGCAATGTTGTATGGAGCTGAATGTTGGCCAACACATAAGCAATGTGAGCATAAAATGGGAATAGCAGAAGTGAGGATGTTAAGGTGGATGTGTGGTTATACGAGGATGGATAAGATAAGCAATGAAGATATTGGACGAAAGGTAAGAATAGTACCGGTGACTGAAAAGATGATGGAACATAGATCCAGGCGGTTTGGGCACGTAATAAGACGATCCCTGGATGTTCCCGTAAGAACAAAAGTTTGTTACCAAGAACTTGACACAAAGAGAGATAGAGGTAGACCGAAACTTACCTGAGGAAAGGTAGTTAAACAAGACTTAATGGAGTGAGATATAGATTGACGGACAGTGTGTCTTAGGACGAAATGGAGAAAAGTTATAAGCAGGGTGGAAGGATAGACCCATTGTTATTCCTATGTTCCAGATGGTCTCTTTTTAGTCCTTCTCCTCTTTATTCCCCCCGCCTTCTTTTCCCTTTCTTTTCTTTTATCTTATTTTCCCCTTTCCCATTTTATTTATTTATTTATTTTTCATTTATGATTATTATTATATTTTTAATTTTTTTTTTCAATCTCTTCGTATCTATCATTGGGTTCAACTACCACCGACCCCAATTAGCCTGGGTTAAACTTCAAAGGTGATGTTGATGTTGATGTTGCTCTTGATGTCTCTTAGAAAAGGAATCTGATGGATACTGGTTCAGATATTGCAGGACTTTGAAAATGTAAGTATCATATTCACTATGGCTACTGGTATCAGTACGATAGCAGTAGCTGTATGTGCTGATTATACCGAACAGAAACAGAAAAAACAAAAAGAACAAGATAACAGGGTATTCGAGAGACCGTGTACTCTCCCTATTCACTCTCAGTCACGTTTTACTTTCCCTCCTTATTCTACTCTCCTCTTTTTTTATATTTTTCTGTTACAACAGCTTTCCCTTCTAATTCCCCAATGTCCCACTTGTTTGTTATATCACCTAGACCTACTTCCTAAAGTTCTAATCTCCTATGGCTCTTCATTCTGTACACTTTAATAATAGGAGGCTTCCTAACAGAATCTCTCAGCTGACGGCTCCCTTGACATTTTTTTTGATATGTTGTTACTTACTGAAAAGTATTAGAAGACAGCACCTCCTTTATCTTTGAGAACAAAGTGGAGGAAGGTATTACATCCAGGAAATGTATCTGAGATTCTTAAAAAACAAAAGAACAAACAATATAGTTCTGAAAAGTGAAAATATAGAAACAGTTGGCAGCCTTTCTCAAATCTGAAGAATTGGATATTATCTTTCTGAGTATTTTCATCTATGATTCTTTGCCTTGACATTCTGGTATGATTTTGTATATTTTCCACTAACATTCAAGCGTGAATGTTAGTGTAGCACTTCTAGATCTAGGATCTTTTCTTTTCCAGATTAATCTTCTTTATGTTGTGTCTAGGTTCAGTAGAATGAATGAAATGTACTTCTCTCTAATGTTTTCTTCTTTTATCAAATATCAACTAAAAAATTGTATAGGTGTAATTTTTTTTTTATGATGAACTTTTGGTGCATTGATTTCATTGTCCTTCCAAATTAGTCTAATCTTTTTTTTTTTTTTTCTCTAAATATCATTGTCATCTAGTTGTTCCTTATCTACCATTTTTATTGCCATTATGTTTAAGTGTAACCAAGTCAGAATGTTGGTAACTCCTATATTATTTGATTGTGGAGAATATTGGTCCACCTAATCAGAAAGATGTATTCTATCATAATTTTATCTTTCCGGTGGGTTGTGTGGTGTAGGATGTGTCTTTGTACAGCTTCGCCACAACTTTATGCTCTTTATGTGGTGCTTCGGTTATGGGTTTTCTTGTTGTGGATAGCTCTAGTTTTTCAAGCAACTTTCATTTTTTTTCAGAAATATGAAGGGTAGAGAAACTGCCTAAGTTATGATCTTGTTGCTTCAAAGTCTTGATTGTTACTGTTTATGGCTTGCTGGACACTAGAATTTGGCTTTTGGGCAAAATGTGGTTCCTTCACTTGTAAGTCTCTCTTGAGTATGTGTACGTGTTCTTGGTGATTTTTGGTTTCCTTGAGTAAATTTAATTTGGAAATCTGGGGCCTTATTGAAATTCAAAGCATTTATCCACTTTATGCTGCTTGTTGATGATCAGTTTTGGTTATATTTGTTTTATCAAAAGTAGCTTTCAAAACGGTTTAAAAGGTTTGTTAAATTGTTTTAATGTCAACTGTGGAGTTGTTTTGTTATTGATAGGTCAGCTTCAATCTACCAAAGCTGGATGTGAGTTTTGTGCATCGTGAAAGTGGTCTTTCTATTGAAAACAACATCATGGGCATCCAATTGAAAAGCACCAAATCACGATCCACTGAGGATGTTGGGGAGAGTACACGCGTTGATTTTCAACTGGAGTTTAGTGAAATTCATGTAGGGAGTGTGACTGTTGATTTTGGTGAAGATCTTGCTATTTGATTTCCACTTTTCAGTTTGCTTTTTTCTCTTGTTGATGAGTTTTCTTTTTCCTTATTGATATTACAGCTTCTCAGAGAAGCTGGTTCTTCCATCCTGGAGATATTGAAGGTTGATTTGGTCTCTTTTGTGTATATTCCAGTGCAGGTAAGTTATTTGCAGTCCTCATAAAATAGCTCTTGCATCACGGTAAAATTGGTATTCCTGTTTAGTCCACCTGGCAAAATATTCTTAAAATTAAGAACGACAACACTGTAAACATAAGGGTTATACTTTATGCAGAGAAATTCATTGCAAAGCTAATTGACCGTTGAAGTCTTGTATCACCTTTAATTACCACCTCGGAATTTTTGGTGGCTACACGATGGCTAGTTTTATGCTTGAAATTATCATGCAACGCCACAAAATTTTGTAAAATAATTTCTGCTGAAGATTAAATGTAGATGGCAAATTTTCAATGCTCCTATAGTAAGAATCAGAAGTTATTGCACCACTGGTGGTTTTATTTGATAGAGTTTTCTCTAATTATAAAGGAAAGTGCCAAGAAAATAAAGGAAAGAAAGAGAAAATCTGGAAGAGAGAATCTGTGGAAAAACTTCATACTGAATATTATGACAATCACACAGTGATTAGCTACATATGGCTCTACTTATAGAGCTATTCAAGCGTAGCAAACTAATAACAAATATCTAACTTCCTAACTAATCAATCTAACAGAATAAGTAAAATGATTCCATACACTCTGATGTACAGTAAGCATAACAGGACCAAATCAACAATAGCTACACATAGATATTACCAGTGAAACTTATCTCTAATATGCCCCCTCAAACTCAGGAGGTATGGAGTCAAGAGATTGAGTCTAGAACTCCGAGTTTGTGTCTTAAAAATTTAAAGTGATTAGAAGGCAGAGGCTTGGTGAGAGTATCAGCTAATTGGGCTGTTGCTGGAACATGGGAAACCGCAAGCTGCTTGGCAAGGACCTTCTGACTAACAAAGATGTCCAGCACCATGTGTTTGGTCCTAGCAGGGAGAATTGGATTGTGGGAAGCTAAGGTTGTCACACAACACCAAGGGAGTGGACAGAGGCAAACCTATCTCCTCGAGAAGAGATTGAATCCAGAGTATTTCTGAGTAGGTCAGAGCAAGGTTACAGTATTCAGTTTCATTGCTGGACCTAGCCACCGAAGTCCGCTTCTTTGACCACCAGGATACCAGGTTAGGTGGCCCAAGAAAAGACTAGCCTAATCTGTATCACTATATGCCATGAGAGAGGAAGGCTGACAGAGGGAAGCTTTTTGCAAATGCAGACGAAAAGTGCGGTACCTAAGTATCCTTTTCATTATTTTCCAGTGTTCATCTAGAGGTTGTGCCATAAACTGGAAAACCTTATTAACTGCAAAAGAAATTTCTGGCCTTGTAATAGTGGCATACTGCTGTCCTCCCGCTATAGACCACTAATGATGAGGGTCTTCATGGAGATGAGATCCATGCTTAGAAAGCTTAAGAATCCCTTATTTTAAGGTAAGGACTGAAGGGAATAAAAAAGAAACAGAAAAAACCCCTTATCGGATGGCATGGGAGAAGAAATGACCTTTGCATCTTGCATATTGGTTCGTAGGGATGTGCATGGGTCGAACCAAACCGAATTGGTTTAAATGGTTCAGTTCAAAACTGGTTCGGTTCAGAAGTGGTTCGGTTTGGTTGGAAACGGTTCGGTTCGGAACCAGTTCGGTTCGGAACCGGTTCGGGTCGATTCTATTTTGAAAAGAAAAAAATTTAAAAATTTAAAAAATAAAGTAATAAAAATCAATTTGGTTCGGTTTGGAAACGGTTTGGTTCGGTTCAAAATGGTTCGGTTCTTAAACTAGTTATAAAAATTTGTTCGGTTCATGAACTGGTTCTTTAAAAATCGGTTCGGTTCATGGTTCGGTTCAGTTTTTTGGTTATTTTGCACACCCCTATTGGTTCGGACAAGTAATTCTCCAATGTACTTAGATTAGGATAGAATGAGAGAACCATCAGGCTGCTTCTTAACCTCAACACTTAGAAAATAGTCCAAGGTACCCAAGTCCTTGAGTGCAAAGTTAGAGTAGCCTCAACACCTAGAAAATAGTCCAAGGTACTCAAGTCCTTGGGTGCAAAGTTAGATTCTGGATATAGGAAGAATTAGTCCCTGTAATTATAATATCATCAACATATGCTAAAATGTAGGTATGCCTGCCATTTTCTTGGTGAAAGAATAGTGAAGGATCACATTTGCTGGAGTGAAACCCAAGAAGCAGAAGAGAATGCCATTTTATTGGAGAAAGAATTGTGAAGGATCACATTTGCTGGAGGGAAACCCAAGAAGCAAAAGAGAATGCTTGAGCTTGTCAAACCAGGCCCTTGGGGCCTATTTGAGCCCATATAGTGCCTTGTGCAGTTTGCACTCAAGAGTTTTGTCAAATGCTTCAAACCCAGGTGGTTGAGTCATGTAAACTTCTTCCTCTAAGTCTCCATTGAGGAAGGCATTGTATTTGTTGATGTCAAGTTTCCTTAGAGCCAACCATGATTAATAGCTAGAGTCAACATGATCCGAACAGTAACAAGTATTACAATCGGTGAGAAAGTTTTGTTGTAAACGAACCCAACTTCTTGGTGAAAGTCCTTAGCAACTAATCCGACCTTGTACTTGTTGATAGAGCCATAAGGATTCTCTTTTATCTTGAACACCCACTTGCATCCAATTGCTTTCCTGTTAGAAGGTAAGCTAACAAGAGACATGTATAGTTAGGCTAAAGCCTTATATTTAGTTTTCATTGCTTCCAACCAAGGGGGACTATTAAGTGCTTGTTTGATTGAGGAATAAATTTCATACTGAATATTATGAGAATTACAAAGTGATCAGCTACATATGGCTCTACTTACAGAGCTATTCAACCATAACAAACTAATAACAAATATCTAACTTCCTAACCAATCAATCTAACAGAATCAATTAAATGATTTCGTACACTTTGATGTACAATAAGCATAAAAGGACCAGAACAACAATAGCTACACATAGATATCGTAAGTGAAACTTGAATAAATTATGAGTGAATATATATGTATACTTGGACTTTAGGAAGTTTGCCTATGTACTTTATAGAAAACTGCTGTTTCTTTATCATTAAGAAAGGCAGCTATCAATTGAATTGGATATTATTGAAGAATGACATGATATAATACCCTAACCTAATGCTTCCATTGTACTAATAATTAGGTCAAGTACTAGTACTATCAGTAGGGGCCTAAGCCCAATAGCAATAAGACTAATAACCCTATTGCTCCAACAGAAAGATTGGAAAAATGAATACAAAGAGGATAAACCTTTTCTCGAAGTAAAAAAGAACCAAGGTGTCTAAAAGGAAACAGAAGTTTGAAGAAAACTGGAACTTTGTTTTTGGGCACAGAGATAACTTGAGCTTTAATGTGCTTATGTTTATCTTTTTTCACATGCTGCTCAAATCTCCCCCCCCCTTCTCCTTTTTTTTTTTTTAATAATCTTTCGTTGTTTTATTATTATTTTTTTATTTGCAGAGTTCGAATATTCCTTTTTGTATTTGCTGAGGTAACTTATTACTAATGTTATTGGAGTGCTTTCTCTGCATCAGCCAATTTCACCTGTTAGAGCTGAAACTGAAATCAAGCTAGGAGGTACTCAATGCAACATCATAATGAGCAGGTTGAAGCCTTGGTTGCTTCTACATTTGTCTAAGAAGAAAAAAATGGTACTTGGAGAAGAAGCTTCTGTTGTTGTAAAGCCACAATCAAGCAATAACAAAGCCATCATATGGACATGCAATGTCTCAGCTCCTGAGATGACAATAGTGCTTTTCAATATGGTTGGTTGTCCAGTGTATCATGTAAGTATTGTGCTTACATGTATTTCTCATTATTTTAAGAAGTTACCAAATAGTGTTAGAAAGTTCAAGCATTTCTTGGGAACTGCTTCCAGTAAACGCTAAAGTTTCACATTCTGTAATGTATAACTAGTTTCATTTCTAATGTAAATTTTTTGTTTGGTATCTTCTACTAAATACATAATTTTTCCTAATATAGATAATAGGAACAGATCATGATTCTGTTGTTGAAAAGTGCTTAAGTGATGATTTTTACATGTAAAATCTATTGGTGGTTTGTTTTATATGTTCGAATCTTAAATTCCTTTCTACGAAGTCACTATACCTCCAATATTGATAACTCTCGAGTTTTGGATGTATTTATCCTTGTTTTGCTTTTTTTTTTTTCCCTTTATGTTACGTTAAATTAGTTATGAGGGCAAGCTAGAGCAGTGATTAAGTTGCTTCTTTGTGATTGAGAGGTGTCCGAGTCAAATAGCAATGATTCGAAGCACTTTACACTATTTCAGAAACCCAAGGACTCAATCGTATGGATATGTAAAATACAGGATTTCCAATCCTAGCAGGATTGGGGGGGGGGGCGGATACTCAATTTCAAGTGAGTAAACAGAATTCTATACTCGATCTCATAGATCCATATCGAATTCTGTGGAAAGCCGTATTCGATGAAAGTCGTATGTACGGCTTGGAGGGAGATCTTTCATATCTTTCGAGATCCACCCTACAATATGGGGCCAAAAAGCCAAAATAAATGATCTTTTAGCCCCTCTAAGTTAAAAAAACGAATTCTCCCTTTCACGCTCATGAACCCAGGAAACAACCTTTTTCTAAAAATTATATGGATAAGGCTGTGTGGAAGGATTTTCCTCACTCCTACCCTTGCAAGTTGGGGTTTCATGGGAAGTAGTTTTTTTTTTTTTTTTTTTTTATGTTAATTTAAGTTGGTTGCGTAAAAAAGATTGACATCCATTTTAATGCTCTCCAAATGTAGGGTTGCTCACAATCATCACATCTGTTTGCAAACAACATTTCAAATATGGGGACTACATTACACATTGAACTTGGAGAGTTTAATCTTCACTTGGCTGATGAATATCAAGAATGCTTGAAAGAAAATGTTTTTGGTGTGGAATCAAATTCTGGCTCCATTATGCACATTGCGAAGGTTAGTTTGGATTGGGGGAAAAAGGACATGGAATCCGAAGAAGATGGTCCTAGGTGTAGACTCGGTTTATCAGTTGATGTGACCGGCATGGGAGTTTATCTAACTTTCAAGCGTGTAGAATCACTCATATCAACAGCCATATCCTTTCAAGCTCTATCAAAAAGCCTATCTGCTTCAAAGAAAAAATCAACTCAGAGCCAGGGGCATTCAGTAAAACCTTCGGGTAAGGGAATTCAGTTGTTGAATTTCAATCTTGAAAGGTGTTCGGTATATGTATGGGGTGAGACAGGCTTAGAAAATCAATCTGTTCCAGATCCCAAGCGAGTTAATTATGGTTCACAAGGTGGTAGAGTTATAATAAATGTGTCAGCAGATGGTACCTCACGCAATGCATACATAATGTCTACTGTTTCCAATGAATACCACAAGCTAAAGTACTCTGTCTCTCTTGAAATCTTTCAATTTAATTTGTGTGTGAACAAAGAGAAACAGTCCACACAGATGGAACTTGAAAGAGCCAGATCTGTCTATCAGGAATACATGGAGGAAAATAGGCCAGTAACAAAGGTGGCATTGTTTGATATGCAAAATGCTAAATTTGTACAGCGTTCAGGTGGCCTTAAAGAGGTTGCTGTCTGTTCTCTTTTCAGTGCCACTGACATTACTGTGAGGTGGGAGCCCGATGTACACCTATCACTAGTTGAACTTGTTCTCCAGCTGAAGTTATTGGTGCACAACAGCAAGCTTCAGGAGCATGGGAGTGAACACATGGGAGATGTGTCTCATGTGCGAGATGCTAATTGGAAAAATGAAACTACTGTTGAATCAGGGCATCTTGAAAAGCAAAAGAAGAAAGAATCTATTTTTGCTGTTGATGTGGAAATGTTAAGTATTTCAGCTGGGCTAGGAGATGGAGTTGATGCTATGGTTCAGGTGCAGTCTATTTTCTCTGAGAATGCTCGTATAGGAGTGCTACTTGAAGGACTTATGCTTAGTTTTAATGGGGCTAGAATCTTCAAGAGTAGCCGGATGCAAATTTCTCGAATTCCCAGTGTCTCTGCCGGTGTATCTGATACAAAAGGACATGTAGTCACAACATGGGATTGGGTAATCCAAGGTCTTGATGTTCACATTTGCATGCCATACAGATTGCAGTTGCGTGCTATTGATGATGCCGTCGAGGATATGTTACGAGGTTTGAAGCTCATAATTGCTCTTAAGACAAATTTAATTTTTCCTGCGAAGAAAGAGAGCTCTAAAGTCAAGAAACCTAGTTCAGTACAATTTGGATGCATAAAATTTTGCATACGCAAGTTAACTGTTGATATTGAAGAGGAACCAATCCAGGGGTGGCTTGATGAACATTATCAGCTGCTAAAGAAGGAGGCTGGTGAGTTAGCTATCCGATTGAACTTTCTAGATGAATTTATATCAAAGGCAAAACATGGTCTTAAATCTACTGACACCATTAATTCTTCCCAAGAAAGAAAAATTTCTTTTAATGATGTTGAGGTTGATGTAAATGATTCTTCTACTATTGAATCCACGAGGGAAGAAATTTATAAACGATCATTCCGATCGTATTACCGGGCATGCCAGAATCTAGTGTTAGCTGAAGGGTCAGGTGCTTGTGGAGAAGGTTTCCAAGCTGGTTTCAAACCTAGTACTTCGAGGACTTCTCTTCTTTCAATATCTGCATTAGATTTAGATGTAAGCTTGAAAAAAATTGAAGGTGGAGATGCTGGGATGATTGAGGTTCTGAAGAAGCTTGATCCTGTCTGTCTTGAAAATGATATACCATTTTCCCGACTGTATGGGACAAATATTATCTTAAATACGGGTTCTATTGCGGTTCAGCTTCGGAATTATACTTTTCCTCTTTTCTCTGGAAGTTCTGGTAAATGTGAAGGTCGTCTTGTGTTGGCTCAGCAGGTAAGATTAAGAATTCTCATTGCCTCCCATTCTTATATATAAACCAATTTTTTCTTATGCTACGTAGAAGGATTGCCCTTACCCTACTCTCGCTAGTCGGGGTTTAATGGGGAGTGGTTTATTGCATATTCTGGTAATCCTTTAGTTAATAAGGTCCTGTTAACATACAGAATCATGAGCTTGAAGGGATGCAGTAAATAATTAACTGTTACCAGAGAGAGAAATAAATTCAAAGACCAAAATACTATCCTTCCAGAAATATCAGATTGTCATACTTGGTCCCTCATGATATTAAGACAGTGAGCAGTCCAACAGCAGAGGATGTGATACCCTCCCAAAAAATCCACAAAATATTAAAACTAGATAGAAACGAAACACACACCATGGAATCAGAGTTTTCCTATCATTCTGTATATATCCAAAAAAGAAACTCTCCGAGATAGCTTTAGCTGAGCACCAAAAAGAAGCTAAAACCACCCCCTTTTTTCATAGAAGAGCTAACAACTAAAGAATATCCTTGAAAATTCTTGCATTACTTTCGAACCTCGAAATTGGCATACGAGAAATTGATTCATTCTGTCCAGAAGTTTCTTAATGGCCTACTTGGCCTTCAAACTTAATCTTTCCTCTCATCATATTGACCCCATTTTAAAGACCTGAATATTTGTTTTTCTTCTTTGGCTTGGGTATAATAATCATTTTTTTTAGATGGATATGTTATATGTTGAATGACAGTGAAGTATGGGATTTTAGCATATATGTTGTTAAGGCTTGCTTCTGAATTATGGTAGAGATTATAGTATCGAAATCACATCTAATTAGTTATTACAGTTTATTTGTATGTCAATTAATAGCAGCAAAGTACAATAATATGATTTTGAAATTTTTTTGATGCATTAGTGTTGAAAAGGATAAAATTTTAAAAGCCAGGAATGTTTTATCTCTCGATTCCTCCTCCCTTTTTAAGGATGAGGATGGAGAATGTGGTGGCTTCTAGGTGAGTATGTGTGGCTTACTAATAGGACATTAGAAGTTCAAAGATCATTCGCTGTCCAGCAAATATTTTAAAGCTATAAAGCTCTAGAACTTACAGTTGAATATTTTGGTGTGCTATTCAATATTGCGGGTTGATAATTTTTCTGACTCTAAAGAGCATATATGATTTGATCACCTAAATCTTATTCTTTAGGTTATTAAGTGAACTAAAGCGGGAAAGAACACAATTTCATATAAGTGCCAGGTTCATATGTTGGTCAATAGTAGGACAACTTTAAGGCATGAGTTGCTGTAGATAAGGGTATAACTGTTGGCACCATTTGAATTTTTAGGAACCCTTCATTTGATAGTTTTGCCTGTTACTATTTCATGTTTTCTTTGGAGGTGCCAACTTTTGTCTTTGTACTAGTGTCTGCATATTGTGTGTTTTTTTCCCCTAGCACTTGAGCTTACCTCGAGTGATAAGCTTGGGTAGGGGCATTAATTTGTGTAAATGGGTCTAATCATGATTGACACTACCCATTTGATAATTGTGTCATGTTTACTCTATCTTGACACTACTCTTTATTTACTGGGTTGACCTTTACTCTGCCTGTTGAACCAATTGACATTTAAGGGTTGATCTTGACTCTTATTACCCATTTCATCAATTTACTTTCAAACTATCAATATGTCGAAGTAAACACAAGAATTTCATAAAACTAAATAAGATTCAAACTCAAAAACAATCCTAGACATTAAAAGTCAGCAGGATCATAAAACGTAATTATAAAATCAGTTTACTACTTTGTGCTGCTTCTGTGCCATCAGTCTTGCTTGCAGCACAAAAATGGCATGCAAACCCACTAGAGATGGCAGTTGAAAAAAAGTAACCAAATGGTGTGAAGTTTAGTGTTTGTGGAATATATATTGTTAGAAATATGTAATAAAACCATTTATATGTCTTCACCTAATAGCTTAAACTTTTGGGTAGTTGGTTGCTTGATATGGTATTAGTCTCTATGACCAAGTGGTCTGAAGTTATCCTTGTCATTCCCATTTTTCTAATAAATATTTATTTGTAGAATTTTTTAGCACGAAATAGGAGAGCTTATGCATTATCCACCCTTCAAGCCCAATGAGCTCTTGTGTGGGAATGTATTAAAAATATTTAATAAAAGCCATTCAAGTGCCTTTACCAATAGCTTAAGCTTTTGGGGTAATTTGTTGCTTGGCATAAATCAAGTGTAAATTGCCAAATTTATGCTTATTGTTTCAGTATTTACTAGTTTTTATGGTAAGATGGTTATAATAAAGGGTCAAAAATAGGTGCACATGTTTTTTTTCAATAATAATTTGGTGATAAGAAAATAAAATCAGTAGATAAGAGAAAGTGAAATGGATACGATATCCTATTAATGAAACCACTAATAAATGAAATGAACAAAAACTCATCAGGTATGCAAACATTGCCATTCTATGTATATCTGACCAAAAAAAAAAAAAAATCCACTAAAATAGGCACTAACCAATCATCAAAGAAGTTAAGATGACCTCTTTATCCCATAGAAAGTGCAACAACAAAAAATTATCCATGACAATTCTGGCTAATGTGCTATGGATATAGTTCAGTTGCTTCAGATGTGTTTGCATATGTATATATCCAATTATTATTTAATAAATGTCCACATGAATGTATGTTTCCTGTTACTCAAACTGAATTCTTTTGCATTTTTTGGGGGGATCAACTAATGATAATCAGCATGATAACATTTCCATTCTGCTGTCTTTTATTTATTTATTTCAACCAGGCAACTAGCTTTCAACCTCAAATATATCAAGATATCTATGTTGGGAGATGGAGAAAGGTTGGCATGCTTCGATCAGCTAGTGGTACTACTCCACCAATGAAGACATACTCTGATTTACCAATACATTTCCAGAAAGGTGAGGTGTCGTTTGGGGTAGGTTATGAACCATCTTTTGCTGATGTTAGTTATGCTTTCACCGTAGCACTTCGGAGGGCTAATCTAAGTGTTAGGAATCCGGGTCCACTGATTCCGCCACCGAAAAAGGAGCGGAGTTTGCCATGGTGGGATGACATGAGAAATTACATCCATGGAAAAATTTCTTTATTCTTTTCTGAGTCAAGATGGAATGTTTTGGCGAGTACAGATCCTTATGAAAAGGTTGACAAACTTCAAATTGTGAGTAGCACTATGGAAATTCACCAGTCTGATGGTCGTGTTTTTGTTTCGGCCAAAGATTTTAAGATTTTATTGAGTAGTTTGGAGAGTTTGGCAAATAGACGTGGTTTCAAAATTCCAACAGGTGCCTCTGGTGCTTTTCTGGAGGCCCCTGACTTTACTCTTGAAGTTACAATGGACTGGGATTGTGAATCTGGAGATCCCATGAATCATTATTTATTTGCACTTCCAGTTGAGGGCAAACCTCGAGACAAAGTATTTGATCCCTTCAGATCCACTTCTCTTTCCCTTCGATGGAACTTCTCTCTTAGACCCTTTCCTCCTTCATCAGAAAGACAGTCCCCCTCTTTCGTTAATAGAGATAATATTGACGGAGATGCTACTGTATTTGATCCTTCTCACATATCCCAGAATGTTTCAGCTACGTCCCCAACATTTAACTTTGGAGCTCATGATTTAGCATGGATTCTAAGATTCTGGAGCTTGAACTACAGTCCACCACATAAGCTACGCAGCTTCTCTCGCTGGCCTCGTTTTGGAATTCCAAGAGTTGCCAGGTCAGGCAATCTTTCACTAGATAAAGTGATGACTGAATTTATGATTCGTTTAGATGCCACACCAGCCTGTATAAAGAACATGCCTTTAGATGATGATGATCCAGCCAAAGGACTGACTTTTACAATGACAAAACTGAAGTATGAGTTATGTTATAGTAGGGGCAAGCAAAGATATACCTTTGAAAGCAAGCGTGATGTTCTTGATCTTGTTTACCATGGTCTTGACCTTCATATGCTCAAGGCTTTCCTAAATAAAGAAGACTGTGCTAGTGTTGCCAAAGTAGTTAACATGATACTGAAAAGTTCACAATCAATATCCATGGACAAAATCCCCTGTGAAAATGGTTACATGACAGAGAAAAATCGTGATGATGGATTTCTGTTGTCCTCTGATTACTTCACTATCAGAAGACATTCCCCAAAGGCTGATCCTGCTAGGTTACTAGCATGGCAAGAAGCAGGAAGAAGAAATGCTGAGATGACATATGTACGGTCTGAGTTTGAAAATGGGAGTGAAGCTGATGAACATATACGGTCTGACCCTAGTGATGATGATGGCTACAATGTGGTAATAGCTGACAATAGTCAGCGAGTGTTTGTCTATGGTCTCAAGCTTTTGTGGACTATCGAAAACAGAGATGCTGTTTGGGCCTGGGTTGGTGGTCTATCTAAAGCCTTTCAACCTCCCAAGCCTTCTCCTTCTCGGCAGTACGCACAGAGAAAATTGCTTGAGGAAAACAAACAGCATGACGGAGCTCATCTCCGTCAAGGTGATGTTGCTAAGCACCCTCCCACCGGTAAAATTTCCAAGTCTCCCTCTTCTCAGCACGGAGGTACTTCTGGATCACTTTCATCTCCTCCAAATTCAGTTAAGGTGGACAACTTGCTGTCTGGTATGTCTCATATGCTTCAAGATATTTTGTTAACTGTTGGACACACAAAATAGATCTGAGACTAGTAACACACAATAAATAGATAATTAAATGTGCCATCTATTACAACCAATAGTATCATTGCTTGCAAGATCATTGAGTTTTTTTGTTAAGCATAATGTATTTTTATTGACAGTTTTGTGCCCACTTTGTTATTTCCCTTTTCGGTGTATTGCCAGCTAAAAATGAGTACATGGATGATTCAGATGGGACTCAACACTTCATGGTGAATGTTATTGAGCCACAGTTTAATCTTCACTCGGAGGATGCAAATGTAAGTTTAAAAAATGTGTGCATTTTAAAGCAGCAGACAACTTTTGGTTTTCTGATTCACCTTCAATTTGGTTTTGATTTAATCTCTTCTTTGGTCCTTTTTTCATTTTATTTTCTGCTATTTTTTGTCAATTTGCTTAGCTCTTTGTCGTTTTTGCTACTACTGAATATGCTTTGTTTTTGGAGTTGTTAAAATTGACCGAGCCCAATGGTGTAGCCTGTATTGGGCCCAGCCCTGTGGCAGGCTAGCTCAGATGGGCTGGGCTGGCCTGAATCTTGTTCCCCTTCTGTTTTATATTGGATTGGTGAGGGTAGAGGAGATTTGTAACATCCTAATTTAATTTGGTTGAATTTATTCCACTCCATGCAATATTCCAAGGTTTCATGTATATTCTATTTTTGGTAAACAAGCAAGGTCAAAGGCCCAAAAGCAAAACAAAATATCTACAAATGAACGTTTCTACTGAAACAGTATGGGGCATATCTGAGAAAAATGGGAAGGAGAGGAACCCTTGCAACTAGAATGATATGGCATGGCATGGATACTATCATCTCGAGAGACTAAATAAGGAACTTTTATCAAATTTATTCATTTCAATCATCTTGCTTTTTAACCGCGAATATAATTTGTGGTTTGGACTTTGGATATAAGATGACATAGATACTATTTATTTCAGCTTTTTAGAAAAGTGTAATTTAACAGATATGACTAATTTAAGTAAAAAAGTAGTAAAACACATGTACACTCATGCATACACACACATGCACTCACATATATGTATGTATATCTTTCTATTTTGTGTCTCCTTTCCAGATATGCAAAAGGATAGGCAAGCCTTATTTACTTGACTTACATTGTTTGTCTTTCCTATATTTCTTATTCACATCTTTATGATGGAGAATATCTTCTTTTGTTATTATATATATATATATATGAAAAAAGAAGTTGTATTTGAAATAGAAGAGGAAAAGGAATCGTCAGACCAGTTAAAGAAAATGAAACCAAATACTCAGAAACATTGGTTCTGTTTGATTGTGTTATGTTTTTTTTGTTCTTAAAACTGTTTTGTAGAATAGTTATGGTAACAGATGTTTTTGTGTTTCTTTTTTTGTTTTGAAAGTTGAAAGTCAAAATATAAAACAAAAACAACTCAGTCATGTTCTTTAAATTTGATTCTAAAATAAAAAAAAACAGTTGTAATTTTTAAAACCTTTTTTACGAAACAAGCCTTATCAAACATGTTTTTTTGTTCTGAAAATCAAAAAACTATTTTTAGAAATAGTATTCAAACAGGGCCAAAAAATCTAGAAAACTAATTGGTTTAGAAGGGCTATCCAATCTTTTTGCATATCTGAAACCATGTACTGAACACCCAAGAGAATCCATATACACAATTATATCCCAAAGCAGATTTAAAGGCGAAGATACACCCTTGAACATTCAAGCATTACTTTCCTACGACACAAACCACAAAATTTCAATAAAGCGCACTTTGCCACAAGGTTTTGTTTTCTATCTTATTGCCAAACACTTGAAAGTGAACATGAAGAAAGTGATAAAAGGAACTGGGACAAACCTAATTCTCACCAAAAATTCTGAAACGCTTATTCCAAAGTAGCTAACAGCTGAACAATGAAGGACTAAATTAGGCAAGGTCTCTTGACTCAGAACTGTACATAACATGCATGTCACAAAAGTAAATAAATAAAATGACGGAGAATATCTTAATCTCCTCATTTATTATCTCCTTGCAAAAATGAAGTGCCATGATTATGTCTGTGGTCTGTTGCTTTTATCATCTCCTTGAAACTTTACTTCTTAATTTGAATATATTTATTCACTTACTAATACTGTAGACATCACTCATGCTTCTAAAATGACATAACTTTTTTGACAAACAGGGTAGATTTTTGCTTGCTGCTTTAAGTGGTCGTGTTTTAGCGCGGTCATTTCATTCAGTGCTTCATGTTGGTTATGAGATGATGGAGCAAGCACTTGGTACTACAGATGTACATATTAGTGAATACCAACCTGAAATGACATGGAAAAGAATGGAGTTGTCTGTTATGTTGGAAGATGTACAGGCTCACGTTGCACCCACAGATGTTGATCCAGGAGCTGGGTTGCAGTGGCTTCCTAAAATTCTCAGAAGCTCTCCAAAAGTAATGCGTACAGGTGCTCTTCTTGAGAGAGTTTTTATGCCTTGTAGTATGTACTTTCGGTACACAAGGCACAAAGGGGGCACTCCTGAACTGAAGGTGTTATATTTTTGTACCTAATCTGTTAACATGCGTCTTTTTTCTCTAGTAAGCACATGTATTCCCAGACATGCTTATCTTTAAAGAGTATGTTTTCCCAGTTTATATATGGTATTTGTCATGGCTGTGGTCAATATTCTATTTCAAATGCTTTTTTAAAAGTAAAAAAAAAAAAAAACTTTCTACTCAGGTGAAACCCTTGAAGGAGCTCACATTCAATTCTCGTAATATAACGGCAACAATGACATCTCGCCAGTTTCAGGTCATGTTGGATGTGTTGACAAATCTTCTATTTGCACGCCTTCCAAAGTAAGGACAAACCCACTCTCTATTTTCAGTCATTCTAAATAACTTTTATCAATTACCTACTTCAAACACTTGTGTATGTTGTGACTCACTCCTTATTGCATTACTATTTATCTGCGCCATGTTTCATAACTATAGTTTTAGTAATTCATTTATATGTTTACACTATTTGTTACTCTTTCAAATTTCATGGGGCCAATGTAGGTCTGGTTGTTCTTTTTTAAAACCAATATATTTCGGCATAAATGAATACACTAGGACCACTATCATTTCGTTTAAGAGGTTCAGACCCAAAGAAATATTTCTTTTGGGTTAGATTTGTCACTTGTTATTTTATTCTTTGTTATTGATAGCATGTGATTGCGCCATAACAGTGCGTAGTGGCCCTTGTCCGTGACAAACTACTTGATTTGATGATTTGGAGTAATTGGCGTAGCGGGTACAATCACAGCCCAAATCACGGCACCATAGTGAGGGGGGGAGAATCTCGTATTTATCCCTATGTGCAGTGTTCCATGCCCAATTTAAATGGGCAAAATCGACTTTTGACCTCCCTTTTTTCTTATAATAGTGATACATTATTGTTGTGAACTCTATCAAGCTTTACCTAACTCAATGCCTCTTTCGAATCTCTCCTTAACTCAATGTGCTTTGTGTCTTAACTTTTCGTCAAGCCTTACACTTCCGAAGTTATTTAGAGTCAAAGTTATCTATTAGATGTAAAACAAAGGTTTTTCTGAATTGATACATTTGATTTACATTGATAGAGATATTTATACAATAGTAAATGAGAGAGGGAAAAAAATGGATAAGAATAACTCAGCAATGAGTCATCAACCCTATCCTATAGAAGAAAATTTAAAATTCAAATTCCTATTAAAGGAAAAAATCAATAACTAATTAATAGGAAATAAAAGTGAAAGATTCTAATCCTAATTTTCTACACTCCCCCTCAAGTTGGGAGGTAAATGTTGATCATTCCCAACTTGCCAATCAGGTCTTCAAAGGTTGGCCGGTGTGGGCCCTTAGTGAGGATATCTACAGTCTGCTCTTTGGTAGGAATATACATCATACACACACATCTATCATCTAATTTTTCTTTGATATAGTGGCGATCAACCTCCACATATTTTGTTCTGTCATGGTGAACTAGATTTTGAGTAATACCGACAGCAACCTTATTATCATAATTCACTCTGACAGGTAGGGAAAAAAGAGATCTTCAATTCTTCAAGGAGTCTCCTTAACCAAATTCCTTCACAAATACCATGGGCTAGAGCCCGGAATTTTGCTTATGCACTGCTCTGGATAACAACTGTTTGTTTCTTGCTTCTCCGGGTCAAAAGATTTCCTCGAATATAGGTACAATATCTTGAAGTGGATCTTCGGTCCAATGCAGAGCCGGTCCAATCTGCATCTGTATATATTTCAACATCCTTTTGTGTCCCCTTTTAAAGAACAATCCTCAACTAGGGGTGTTTTTGAGGTGTTTGAGAATTCTATAAACTACACTCGGGTGTTTTTCCTTAGAAGAATGTATGAATTGACTAACCATGCTAACTGCAAATGCAAAATCAGGCCGAGTGTGAGATAAGTAGATCAACTTCCCCACCAATCTCTAGTACTGCTCTTTGTCAACTTCTTTCCCATCTTCAATTCCTAATTTAATATTGGGTTCAATTGGAGTCTGCTGGCCTGCTCCCAAGCATTCCTGTTTCTTGTAGTCATGGACAACGTATAGTCAAGATATAGTCATGGACAACATCATACTCCTCGAGAAGACCAAAAAGAGTGGTAACCATAAAGAACCAATTCAACCCAAAAGCTTAAGCTAATGGGTGAGAGCTTTTTAATGGTTTATATTATACTCTAACACGCCCCCATTGGGTTGAAGGGTGGATGATGCATCATGCTCAGCCTATCTGTGCTAAGAAATTCCACAAGAGAAAGTGGGGGGCTGTGAGGATCGAACCCGGGACACGAGGCTCTAATACTATGTAAAGAACCAATTCAACTCAAAAGTTTAAGCTAGTGGGTGAGGGCTTTTTAATGGTTTATATTATACTCTAACAATATATATAATACCCTGAGGTAGATCTCCTATAAATGGAGTAAGCTGCCCAATCAATATTTGAGTATCCAACAAACACGAGAAAAGTTTGTGGTTGTGTGATTAGTGTGAGAGGCATCACCGCTTTAGCACTTGATCTGACAACCACACTTGTTAGTACTTTTTCTAGTGCACGCATTTCGACACACGATTGTGAAGACAAAAAATTCTGCAGTTGTGTGATGTACGTGAGGGCGCATTGGCTGGAATCAGGGGTCGGGTCCTAGACAGACAGGATTGTCATTTGAAAGCGGTCAGAACAGAGGGAAACGTGCAGGGATGGATGCCGAAGAGGGAACCTGGTTGGAGAGTCTAGAAATTAGAGGGATGACATAGATTCTGGAAATTTTTTTTGTCAGTGGACAATGAATTTACCGGAGTTGCCCAGAATAGGATTAGGGTTCCTCTCTATCAGAAAGAGAAGGAGAGAGAGAAGAACTCATTGATTCAGTTGAGTGTATTCTGAACCAACTGAGATCAATACATGAAAGCTCTATTTATAGAGCTAGAGGATGACTCAAGGCTGAGTCATCAGTTCTAACAAACTTAGTATTAAGAAACTAATTACAAACAGACAAATTAAGAAATAATCTATGGTAAGGACCAACAAGAAAATAAATCTAACACAAAGGATTATGGAAATGAAACACAAATCTGTATATAGATGTATTTGTATCTGTGTTACAATATGAAAATGGCAACACCTCAGAGACAATTACAGAGATAGTAGACAATAGCAACCTATAATCCTCACAGCACAAGGATTAATTGCAGACAATGATAAATGGAAAAGAAGGAAACTAAATGCAATAATTGAAAAGATAGTGTGAAGCACATGAGAGACTTCACTCTCTCCCAATCCCCAAAGGGCCCAAGCAATTCCAAGATTCCCATACCCCTTTCATTGCTGCCTCCCCTGTATATAACAAACTCCATGACACTCACGCTCTATTCTGTTAGAGGGCATTCCAGTCAATATCTCCACTTGTTAACAGCATTGCCAATTGGGCCAATTATTACATTTGAGGCCCAAACCATGGTGGGTTTGTATCAATCTAATACAACCAGTAGTAACATATCTACATACACCAGACGCTAGTAATGAACCAATAAAGCAAAGCTGATAGCTTATACTCTAATACCCTACCGTAAGCTCAAGGAGGTATGGATGTGCCAAGGGTACCATTGAGAACCTTGAGCTTGGTTCGTAAATCTGCAACCTGCCAGAGGGGAGAGGCTTTTTAAGTGTATCAACTATTTGATCAGCAGAAGGAATATGAAGAACCAGAAGCTCCTTATTGATGACACGCTCACGAACAAAGAAAATATCAAGTTCCATGTGTTCATTTGAGCATGGAGAACTGGATTGCGAGTGAGAGCACCCGTACTCAGATTGTCACAAAATTTGAGGAGTGGAGGAGGAATCACGAAGCTCCCAAAGTAAGTAGCCAAAGATTTGTATCCATTTTTCATGATATTATGCATGGATCAGATATATCATGGCGAATTCTTCCGATTCCATTGTGTCTTCCACAATGGAATCGGATAAGTGAGATTTCGAGTAAGTGTTTACATAATCTTCTTCTGTCCGAGGAAATTCTTCATCGAAATAATGAGTCACCATTGATATCGACACATCTGAGATCGCTAAATGTTCAGGAGTTCCTCTATTTAATCCTTTTCCTTATTCTTGTTGCTGGATATCTCGTTCGTACACACCTTCTCTTTGTTTCTCGAGTCTCTAGTGAGTTACAGACAGAGTTCGAAAAGGTCAAATCTGGACTGAATCCATAAAATCTTAGCACAAGTGACCAAACTGCGATACTTAGCTTCAGTACTAGAGTGAGCAACCAAGGTTTGTTTCTTAGGCCACCAAGAAATGAGATTTGGACCAATGTTGAATATCAGGACCCGAGAGACATGTATTGAAATCCTTATGTATCAATTACGCATTGGAGGCTCTATTATATAATCGGGTAAAAATAATTACAAAGGAATAATAAACAATGTGAACTTCGTCCCTCATGGTAAACTACTTTGTTTACAATATTTACAACAATCAACATCTAAGCCTGCATCTTTATTGCAGATATTGACTTGAAACTGTGGTTAGATGTTTATCGATGCTGCAATAGTTTTCTTTTTAAATTTACTCTATTAATTCTGTGGAAAACTGAAAATATTGATATCATTTTGATATGTTTTAGTCATAGGTTTATTTTTAGTTTAGATAATCTAGTTAATTAACTAATGTGATTATTACTGAGATGTGATTTCTTTATGCTCTTCATATTCTGTGATACATGATAAGTTCTTCAGATTAAATGATTTTATTATTCACAACTCAGGCCTCGAAAGAGTAGCTTGTCCTTTCCAGTCGAAGATGATGAAGATGTTGAAGAGGAAGCAGATGAGGTGGTTCCTGATGGTGTTGAAGAGGTGGAACTTGCAAAAATCAACCTTGAAAAAAAAGAGAGGGAGCTAAAGTTGCTTCTTGATGATATTCGAAAATTGTCTCTTTTATGTGAACCTTCTGGAGATATGAATCCAGAAAAGGATAGTGACTTGTGGATGATAGCTGGTGGAAAATCTATGCTGGTAAGAAATGAATCTTGTTAACAATCTTTTAATTGACGTGACTGCATAGTTTTAGTCAAATTATAGATACTTGTTCTTAAACATTCTGGTCCTTCAATACACTAAAAAGAAATCTGGCCACTACTTTGCTTGGTGATGTTTTTGTGGTTGCCGAACTTGAAATATTAGTATCTATTGGCAGAAGTTGGTAAACTTGTTATATAAAAGAAAAACTTATTATAAGAAAAGGAGTATGTAGGAGAAGGAGGATTAGATAAACTTCTTACTTTGTACCGTATAAAACAGATTAAATAAAAAAATTCAATGATTTTTGTGTTTATGTTTCCCAAATGTTAATGGTATGCTGATATCATTTAATTACTTTAGCTCAGATATCCTACATTTCATATACACATCTGGTACTTTACAGTTTGTTTCCTTTGGGTGATTTATTTTGCCGAACGTTTGCAATGTGGATAATGTTGCAAATTAACGCACATTAAATGCCTGAATTATGATTATGGTGAATTATAATCCTCTAAGCTTGCCCTTGATTCACATTCAGTACATGACTCTGTTGTTTTATAAGTGGCTTAATCTTAGGTATATTGTATGTGTGGGATTGATATTGAGCTGAAATATCTCGCTTGTGCACATTTATGATCTTTTGATAATTCTTGATTGTGACGTTCAGTTTTATCCTATCTTTTTCAATGTTTTGAAGACCGAACTGGTGAATGATTTCCGTTGATTAACGGTTAAGATTTGGTATAAGACTTGGTAATCTTATACCGATGTAAGTTGATCCTACCTCGTATATATATATATATATATATATATATATATATATATATATATTGTTGCGATATATAAAACCATTAATGTAGCCTCACCCAATAACTTAAGCTTTTGGATTGAATTGGTTCTTTACATGGTATCAGAGCCTCGTGTCCCGGGTTCGATCCTCGCCGCCTCCTACTTTCTTTCAAATGGAATTTCTTTGTTCGCACAGGTAGGTGGGCTTGTGCATTGTCCACCCTTCAAGCCCAGTGGGCTCTCGTGTGAGGGGGCATGTTGAGATATATAAAACCATTAATGTAGCCTCACCCAATAGCTTAAGCTTTTGGGTTGAATTGGTTCTTTATATATATATATATATATATATATATATATATATATATATATAACAGTAACTATGGTTCAACCACTGAATCACTATCTTTTCTAGTTCATTCACCAGTTCGGTCTTCAAAACATTGAAAAAGACATGATAAAACTGAACGTCACAATCAAGAATTTTCAAAAGATCATAAATGTGCACAAGCGAGATATTTCACCTCAATAATATCAATCCCACACACGATATATTGGGTCTCATTAATTAATTAATTGGGTCTCAACAGATTAGATTTATTGGATCTCATTAATTAATTAATTATTAATTCTTAATAAATCTCAACCCTTAGATGCACGTAAATCAACGGTTAAGATGTGGTGTAAGACTTGTTATTCTTACATTGGTGTAAGTTGATCCTATCCCATATATATATATACATATATATATATATATATATCTGTCTGTGTGTGTGTGAAGTAAATTTATTTGATATATTAATAAAGTATATAAAATATTTTATTGTCATCTGTATGTTAAAATCAGAAATATAGGCTCTGCTAACATTATACTACTCAGAGTTTAGGGAACATATGAAAACATTTTTAGGTTTATTAAGTTATTATCATAAAATTTTGAAAATAATAATTTGCATAGTATATTAAATTTTGTAATTTGTTAATACTGAGATATGGTTCATGTTTTTTAAAATTTTTTAGTTGGTTTATCAATTATAAAACTTTAGATTCATGTATAAACATTTACTGTTCATCTATGACGTCTATATGTAAAAAATTGAGCAAATGTCCAATTTGGTCCTCTAAAGATTGGTCCTCAATTTGTAGGCTACATCAAATTGGTCCTTTGATAACAAGTTTTATGTTTTCATTTTCGTCCTTTAGAGGACCAATTTGATGATACTTTAAGAACCCATTTGGTTGCGTCAATTAGATTTGAAGGGACAACTCGATCTATATAATAGTGGAGGACCGACCTGATGACATATATATTGGAGGACTAAAATGGATATTTACTCAAAATTTATGATATCTTACATCAAAACAAGTTGGCTTTAATGGTACAGATGCTAGTTAGTTTAGTTCATGTTCGGTTCGATTTCCTGTATTCGCACAATCGTACTTGTGCAAAGTGTTGTTTGCTCCACTAAAGTGATACTTGCCCTGTTCAATTCGGGGTTCCCTGGCCTGTTTACTCTATGAATTCATGAAGAACTGGATGGTTTTAATTGGCCATTTCATTAGAATAGCCATTTTCAAGTAGTGTTCGATCGATTACGTATTAAGCAATATTCGATTGATTGTTCTGAGGTTATCGACAAAAAAGATTTGTCTAAGTCACTTTGTTTCTTTTTGTCCAAGTTACTTCTTTTTTTGTCCAAATTTCATGTCGCTACACGGGGGCGAAAAAAGGAGCTCCTATCAACTTGTTCCGATCTAGGATAATAAGCTCATGAGCTTAGTCTTTGGTGAATTAATTTCAAGATATATGGTTTTCCCATTATAACAGGCTGTTCAAAAGGATTATTTGATTGTATCGAAAGGCCCAATGAATTGGGATTTCCCTTTTGGGCCGGGTCATTTCGGGGCAAGCAAATCATTTATGATGAAGAGGATAATGGCGTTGAGTTTCTCGGCCCTTTGCCTTAGGATTAGTCAGTTCTATTTCTCGATGGGGGTAGGGGAAGGGATATAACTCAGCGGTAGAGTGTCACCTGTCGAGTCATTTCAAATTGTTTGTTGACACGGACAAAGTCAAAGTCAAGGAAAACCTCTGAAATTCTTTAGTTAAACCACAGCTATTAGGATCTTACAAGTCTGGTAAGCCAGCCAATTCGCAGGCTCTCTGGTTGAAGTGGCAGGTACAGTCCAGTTTTGAGAAATATGGTCTTCATGTTCTCAGTAATGTTGCTCAGTGGGGACAGCATCCCATGAAAATTTATGGTTCTACTGATTGCTGACTTTGCTACCATCTTGATTTGGATATGTTAGAGAAATATACTATAAAATCATTAATATGACCTTCACCTAACAGCCTAAGCTTTTGGGTTGAAATGATTCTTTACATGATATTAGAGGCTCTTTGACCAAGTGGTTACGAATTCATTCTTCACCACCCCTATTTTATTAATAAATAATTAAATATTATGGAGTTTCTTAGCATACGTAGGGTTTGTGCATTGTTTACTCTTCAAGCCATTGGATTCTTATGTGAGGAGCGTATTAAAAAAATAACACAAAAAAAAATAAAAAAAAATATGACCTTCACCTAACAACTTAAATTTTTGGATTGAAATGATTTTTTACAAGGAAAGGATGTGGTATTTTTCATTGGCATTTAATGAAATCCTAAGCTTTCACGAGCATAGTCTTCCGATTGTGTTTCTGATATAGTTTTGAGATGTATAGACTATTATTGTATTTATATGCATATTTCAGTAGAGACAAGTGTGCATGCCTAATCAACAGTAGTCCAACACTTGCAGATCCGAGGACTGAAGAGAGAGCTTGTAAATGCACAAATGTCCAGAAAGGCAGCCTCTGCTTCATTAAGGATGGCTCTTCAAAATGCTGCGCAGCTACGGCTAACAGAGAAGGAGAAGAACAAAAGTCCTTCCTATGCTATGCGCATATCTTTGCAAATTAACAAAGTTGTTTGGAGCATGCTTGTTGATGGTAAATCCTTTGCTGAAGCTGAGATTAATGACTTGGTAAGAATTATTTTGCAAACTTGTTCTCTCGCTCTTCTCTCTATGTTTCCTTCCAAAATTCAAAGTTCACTTAATTTACTTCTCAGAAAGTATATCTACACGACTAGATATCAAATTTTCCTAGTATCAAGTTTGGCTTAGAATGTATTAGAAACGTTCTAAAAGTTTCCTGCATTAAGACTCATTGTTTTTAGCATGGACTAGATATAAAAGACATTGCTACACGACTAAGGTTTTCCTTCTACCTTAGCAAGCCATTGAATGTCTTGTACTCTTGTCTCTGACTGCTATGGAGGACAAAGGAAAATATAACATCAGTCTTTTCTAGTGTTGTTTTTTCTTGTCCTTGTTATATGCCTGAGAATGGTGGTTCCTTGCTAGTACTTAGTTTTGTTGTAACTTTACTAATTCATTTCTTTTTTATCTCAATTTGCAAGAGTATGCTAATTCTCATTTTGCCAACTTAGATATATGACTTTGACCGGGATTACAAGGATGTCGGTGTTGCTCAGTTTACAACAAAATATTTTGTTGTCAGAAACTGCCTGCCTAATGCAAAGTCTGATATGCTTTTGTCAGCATGGAATCCTCCATCCGAATGGGGAAAGTATGTAATTTTGTCCCTGACTTTTTCTTAATTTATGGGTTCTTATGGGCTGATTTTATAATATTTATTGCTGTGCTGTTCAATCATTGGAGATAGGTTTTGTTCTGATTATGTTTTAAGTTCCAGTTTAACTCCATCCTTCGCCCCTTAGGTTATTAAATATGTTATCTGTCTCTCTCTCTCTCTTCACCATTTGTTGTGCTAGTGGTCATGATACAGTTTTAGTTATCTACAAGCCCTAGAAGTGACGAGTGCTCCTCATGTTTTCATCACCAGAAGGTGGTAGTGTTAAAAGGGCTTAAACGAAGTGTGAAAGGGGATGTACCTCCCCGCATATAAAAGTGAAACTATAACTATTAAGCAAAGGGCTTAATGGAAGTGTGAAAGAGGATGTACCTCCTGGCATATAAAAGTGAAACTGTAACTATTAAACAATCATCTCACCTAAAAACTCAAACTATTAGGTGAAGACCATATTAATAACTCCACAATATTGCATTATTAATAGAATGGACCAGTGAGGTTTAAACTTGTGACCACTTGGTAACAAAGACTCTGATACTATGTTAATCAACCATCTCACCTAAAAGCTCAAGTTGTTAGGTGAATGCCATATTAATCGTTTTATATTATATTTCTTTAACTATAACAACAAAATTTCCTTGTCTCTACACATTGTGGTCCAGCAAGCTGCTATTTCTTTCTTCATGTTACATTTGGCATTTTGATGGAGGAAAAGGGATGTTTAAAAAACTTAACCTTCATCTACATTGCGGTCCAGCTAGCCCCAATTTCTTTCTTCATGTTAAATTTGGCATTTTAATGGAGGAAAAGGGATGTTTAGAAACTTAACCTTCCCTTTTAATCATTCTTATATCTGAATTATATTTCTCTTGAAATATTTTCCGAAACAAATGTCATCTCTTGTCATAACATTCTCCCTCATAATTTTCTTTTTCTTTTTTGAATTACGTGAACCATTTCTTACTTAGATGTACTCTATTAGCTGAATTATATACTGGATCTATCTCAAGAGGTGACTGCCCTGAGCTTTTCTACAATTTGTTTAGTTGCAGTTGTTCCATTGGATTTTTTAACATATATCATCTCATGTATAACCATTGAAGGTAAACTTTCCAAAATTTCCTCCCTATTATTTAGTATCATTTGAATAATGATTACAAAATCATAATGTTATATAATAAGATAAGTGACCAATTCATGGTGGCTTTAATTCATTTTGTAAAGGGCAATCTTTCAACAAAGCATATGGCGCCAGACTTCCAAAGTAATGCTCATTCCATTGAATGGGAAAATATGAACGATAGTTGTTTGTGTTATTCAGTGTCTTTTGGCATGAGACTCCCTGCTACTCACTTAGAGCTTATACATTAACAATATTTTTTGCTTGCTTTTCAAACTCTTAAACTGGGCAAATTCTGCTCCCTGAAGTAGTTAATTTGGAGGATGGCTTTGTGGGGATGTTTATATCTATACTACTACCAAGAAATATTTCTATAGATTTGTAAGGGGAGAGCAACTGCATATTAAATCCTTCTGTATTTGTACTCGTTATTGCAAGTTTCATATTGCATGACTGCTTCCTTTTTTAAAAATTATTTTTCCAGAAAAGTAATGCTTCGAGTAGATGCACAACAGGGAGCTCCAAGGGATGGAAATTCTCCCCTTGAACTTTTCCAGGTGATTGTTTCGTTTAGGTTATTTTGGATCCTTAAACTTTCAGAAATTCAATGCAGAAAAATAGAATCCAATCTTGTTCTAATTTGTAGTTTTTCATTGCTTTTTTTTATGGTCGTTGATTAAAATTGAGACCATATATTATACTGTAAGAGTTTCAACTAGACCCTGTCCAATGATAACATAAAATTGTGAAGTTAGTATCAGAATATTTTTGCACTCTGATTCTCTCCATACACTGATTATTTGCAAGTTTAAGAAGACATGCCTGATGGAGCATCAGGGTTAGATGGAATTACTTGAGATTGAATTATTGAAAAGAAGTTTCTGTATATTGATCTTGAATAAATTACATGAGTGAGTATTTATACAAGAAAGAATCGCAGAATGACTAAGCGATGACTAATCAATCCTAATCACAATCAATCCTAATCAATCACAATCAATCCTAATCAATCATAATCAATCCTAATTAATAGGAAATAAAAACGAAAACATGTTTGAATTCTGATTTTCTACACTCCCCCTCAAGTTGGGAGGTAAATATTGATCATTCCCAACTTGCCAATCAAGTCTTCGAATGCTGGACGGTGTAGGCCCTTGGTAAGGATATCTGCCGTTTGCTCTTTGGTTGGAACATATATCAAACGCACACTTCCATCATCTAATTTTTCTTTGATGAAGTGACGATCAACTTCCACGTGCTTTGTTCGATCATGATGCACAGGATTTTGAGCAATGCTAACAGCTGCCTTGTTGTCACAATATAGTTTTATTGGTAGGGAATATGAAATCTTCAACTCTTGAAGAAGTCTTCTCAACCAGATTACTTCACAAACTCCATGACCTAAAGCTCGAAATTCTGCTTCAGCACTACTTCTTGCAACCACTGTTTGCTTTTTGCTTCTCCAAGTAACAAGATTTCCCCACACATAGGTGCAATAGCCTGAGGTAGATCTCCTGTCTACTGATGAGCCTGCCCAATCTGCATCAGTGTAGATTTCAATTGTCCTTTTATACCCCTTTTTAAAGAATAATCCTCTTCCTGGAGTATTCTTGAGGTATCTAAGCACCCTATAGACTGCACTAAGATGCTTCTCCTTGGGTGAGTGCATGAATTGACTAATCATACTCACCGCAAAGGCAATGTCAGGACGCGTATGAGATAAGTAGATTAGTTTACCAACCAATCGCTGATATTGTTCTTTATCCACCTCATTCCCATCTTCAATACCTAACTTGGTATTAGGTTCCACAGGTGTCTCAGCAGGTTTACACCCTAACATTCCTGTTTCCAACAAAAGATCTAGAACATATTTCTTTTGTGTTAGAGTGATGCCTGTTTTGCTCCTAGCAACTTCCATACCAAGGAAATATTTGAGAGTGCCAAAGTCTTTGAGTTCAAATTGAGCTGCTAGAAATTTCTTCAAGGTGTTCAATTCCTCAATATCATCACCTGTAAGAATTATATCATCTACATATACAATAAGAATAGCAATTTTACCATCCTTAGAATGTTTGTGGAAGAGAGTATGATCAGTCTGTGCTTGAATGAAGCCTCTTCTTTTGACTGCTTGTGTGAATTTGTCGAACCATTCTCTGGGAGACTGTTTCAATCCATATAGAGACTTTTTTAGTTTACACACTGATCCATTTCCCTTTTCAAAACCAGGTGGAGGATCCATATAGACTTCTTCATGTAAGTCACCATTTAGGAATGCATTCTTCACATCTAACTGTTGCAGAGGCCAATCTAGATTGGCAGCAAGAGATAAGAGAACTCAGATGGTATTGACTTTAGCAACCGGAGCAAAAGTCTCATGATAATCTATCCCATGAGTCTGAGTGAAACCCTTTGCAACCAATCTTGCCTTGTATCTGTTGATGCTATTATCTGCATTGAATTTTATTGTAAACACTCATTTGCATCCTAGTGCGTGTTTTCCTTTGGGTAGGGTCACTATCTCCCAAGTTCCATTTCTTTCTAAAGCATTCATTTCTTCAAAGACAGCATCCCTCCATTTTTTATCATTGAGAGCCTCATGTATATTTCTCGGTATCTTTGTACCATCCAACATAGTATTGAAAGCACGAAACCCTGGGGACAACTTTCCATATGAAATATGATTAGAAATAGGATGAGTAGTACAAGATCGAGTACCTTTTCTGAGAGCAATGGGCAAGTGTAGATCATTTTCACCATGACACTCAAGTATTGGGGTGCTGGAACTAGAACATGGTTTAGAATCCTGGCAGTGTAGAGGCTCTGGGTTATTCACACTTTGAGGAGGCTTTCGCCTGCTATAAACTTGTCCCCATTTTGAGGAGGCTCCTGATGGTGAGGATTCTGTAGCTCCCCCTGTTTTCAAAAGTAGAGGTAATACTGTGTCATCAGTAGGTTCCCATGACTGATCTTCATCTACTCCTATAGACTCCCCCTGAAGAGAAGTCGAGGGGAAGAAAGGGTCATTCTCAGAAAAAGTGACATCCATAGAGACAAAGACCTTACGAAGAGAGGGTGAATAACACTTATAGCCACGTTGAGTAGGAGAATAACCAATAAAGACACACTGGAGAGACTTAGGATCAAGCTTAGACCGTTGATGGGAGGGAATATGGACAAATACAACGCAACCAAATAACTTGAGAGGTAAGGAGGAGACACCTCGGAAGGAAGGGAAGATACGAACAAGACTAGAAATTTTTTTGTAAAGAACCTTGGGATACACCACCCTAAAAGCTAGCTCAAAGGGTGGGAGTGCCCAAGGCCTTATAAACTTCACATTAGTTGCACATACAACCAATGTGGGACTATATATCTCAACACGCCCCCTCACACAAGAGCCCATTGGGCTTGAAGAGTGGGCAAATGCAACAGGCCCAGCCTACCTGTGCTAAGAAACGCCACAAGAGAAAGTGGGGGGCGGCGAGACTTTGATACCATATTGAAAAGAAGTTTCTGTATATTGATCTTGAATAAATTACATGAGTGAGTATTTATACAAGAAAGAATCGCTAAGAATGACTAAGCGATGACTAATCAATCCTAATCACAATCAATTCTAATCAATCACAATCAATCCTAATCAATCATAATCAATCCTAAGTAATAGGAAATAAAAACGAAAACATGTTTGAATTCTGATTTTCTACATGAATAATAGAATAATTGTATATTGAATAATTGTGTGTTACAATGTACAAGAGCTCTCTATTTAAAGAGACTAAAAGACCTAATCGGCTAAGCCCACAAGATGTGAGACTATTTTATTATATACACTGAACTATTCTAATAACTACTCTAACACTCTCCCTCAATCTGGTGTGTATATATTGTAAGCACCCAGCTTGTTACAAATGTATTCGACCCGAGGACATCTAAGAGCTTTAGTGAAGACATCTGCGAGTTGATAGTTGATAAATGCCGTTTTGATTTCTCCTGACTGAATCCTTTCTTGAATGAAATGACAATCGATCTCTATATGTTTGGTTCTCTCATGAAATACATGATTAGATGATGTATGTAGCGCAACTTGATTGTCACAAATGAGTGTCATGGGCTGTTTCTGTTCACAAAGATGGAGCTCCCGAATCAACTGCTTTAACCAGATTAGCTCGCAGGTAGCAACTTCCATTGCACACATTGTACGATACTTGACCTCTGCACTAGATCGGGCAACAACAATTTATTTCTTACTTTTTCAAGAAATCAGGTTTCCTCCAAAGAAGACACAATAGCATCAAGTAGAGCGCCTGTCCGAGGGTGATCCTGCCCAATCGACATCTGAATAACCACAAATTTCTGTATTTCCGTGATCTGAGTATAATAAGCCTTTTCCTGGTAATCCTTTGATGTACAGGATGATCCTCACTGTAGCATCCCAATGAGAATCGCAAGGAGAGTCAAGGAATTGACTAGCCACACTAACAGCAAAAGAAATGTCCGTCCTAGTCACAATGAGATAATTGAACTTCCCAATCAACCTCCGATAACGTCCAGGATCAGATAATGGCTCTCCCTGTCCGGGTAGTAATTTGATAGCAAGATCCATGGGTGTATCAACCGGCTTACACCCCAACATACCAGTCTCCTCTAGGATATCTAAGGCATATTTCCTTTGACAGATAGAAATGCTCTGTCTAGACTATGCCACCTTAATCCCTAAGAAGTAACGAAGCTTACCAAGATCCTTTGTTTGAAATTGACTGAACAAATACTGTTTTAACTGGTGAATCCCAACTTGATCACTTCTAGTGAGAATAATGTCATCGACATAGACTAATAGATAGATGTACTTGTCAGGAGATGTGAACCTATAAAACACAGAATGATTGACCTTACTGTAGATTAAGCCAAAAGCCTGAACGACAGAACTGAAAGGGCTGAATCATGCGCAAGGAAACTGCTTGAGGCCATATAAGGACTTACGAAGCTTGTTCCATTCCAGACTCCCCCGAGCAACAAAACCATATGGTTGCTACATGTAAACCTCTTCTTGTAAATCACCATGAAGAAAAACATTTTTAATGTCTAGTTGAAGGAGTGGCTAGTGACGAACAACAGCGAGGGCAATAAACATTTGAACAGATGCCATCTTAGCGATAGGAGAGAACATGTTGCTATAGTCAAGGCCGAAGATCTGAGTAAAACCTTTGACGACTAAGCCCACCTTGAAATGATCAACATGGCCATCAGGTCCAACCTTGACAGTAAAGACCCACCGACAACCAACAATAGACTTCTTGGGAGGAGCAGGAAGCCATTGGAATGAAGAGCAGTCATCTCATTAAGCATCGCTTGGCGCCACCCTGGATGGGGAAGTGCTTCACCTTTGGTTTTAGAAATAGAAACAGAAGAAAGACTAGAAACAAAGATGTAATGAGAAATAGAAAGATGGTCATAGCTTAAATATGTATAAAGAGGATACGGGTTACGAGGAGTACGTATACCTTTTTTTTGGGCAATGGGAAGAGCCTCTGGTGAAGGAGCCGGAGAGGAAGAGATGACTGGAGACGGCGATGAGTCGCTCAGGGTCAAGTTCGCAGGAAGCACTTTCTGACGACGCTGATAGGTGAGAAAAGGGTGGTCCACTTGGATGGAGGTAAGAGGTCTTTCCTTTGGGAGAGAGTCACCCGCAGCTGGTAAAGACAGGTTAAGAAAAGGAACGGGAAGAACCTGATCAACCTGTGACAACTGATATGGGATAGAATAAAAGGGTTGTTGATCAAGCAGTGGGCTTAGGGTTTTAGCGGAAGCAGATCCCAAAAACAAATAGCTCTGATACCAACTTGAGATTGAATAATAGAATATTTGTATATTGAATAATTGTGTGTTACAACATATAAGAGCACTCTATTTAAAAAGACTAAAAGATCTTATGGGCTAAGCCCACATAATGTGGGACTATTCTATTATATACACTGAACTATTCTAACAATTACTCTAACATAATTTATATGGCTTTAATTGGTTGTGGATCAAGTTGGCCTGGTTAGCTGTTGTCAACAGAGGTCTATCATAAACATGCCTTAAATACACCTTTCTTTGAAAAAATTATTACAATGTGAGGTTCACATTCATATTAAATAGCCAATTGCAATGGCAGAATAAAAAATTAAATATCAAGGAACTGGAAAATGTTAAATCTGCATTATCTCGATTGTTTTGCAAAGCATAGAACTCAAATGAAAAAAAGGACTGAATATTATTTCTGAATTAATAAATCTTTGCAGTTTCATTACAATATATAGACCTAGTTAAATTATTAGTTGGCTAAAAGAAAGCATTTCAGTTCAGAGGCAGAAGACGAATTTGTTATACTGGTCTTCCTCGTTGCCAAGACTGACGCATCAGTGGGCTTGTCATCAAGCATTACAGCTTGACTACTCTCTTCTCCACAACAGTGTAGAAAACCTGAGACAGATAGAAGCTTCTCCCTCCGCAAAATTTGTACTCTGATAGGGTCATACTCATAATTCAAACCAGAGAGGAACTGAAAGATGTGGTCTATTTACTGCCTCTGTCTTCATATTCTGATATTGGTCAAGTTTGATGCACAACCCATTAAGAATCCCATAATAATCTGTAACTGAGAGAGCTTCCTTTTTGGTTGAGATAATATTTGTTTCTTATTTGGTGGAGTAGAACTAGTGAAAGTTATCCCAAATTTCATGGATGTGGGTAGGAGCATGCAATTTTGACTAACCTTTAGGGTCGACGAATTACTCGACTATGTCATGATAAGAGAGTTCTCGTCATCCCATTCATTGAACATCACATCTTTCTTATTAGGAGCTTTTCCCTCAATGTGGTCTGATTTCAGTCGACCTTTTGAGGGTGGTATGAATGGCTTGGGCCTATTGCAAGTAGTCTGATAGAGACCTCCGATCAAATAAAGAAATGACAGCAAAGAACAAGGGATTTGGACCTGATAAACTGGATTCTGAAATATTTATGGACTTCAAGAGACAATTACAAGCTAAATGACAGTACAACAATGACAACAATTACAGTAAAAAGGGAAATTAACCAAGAGTTGGGAAATGAAATAACAATGCAAGAAGATAAAAAGATAATGTAAGATAATGTGAGACAATTGGAGAGGCCTCACTCTCTCCCAAGATTCCACTTCCAAGACAATTTTCCTGATGCCCTCCCTCTTCTCGTTCCTTACTATTTAATCACCTCAACTTCACTTCCCACGCCATTCTGTTAGAACCAATTGCAAGAGGTTCTAACTGCCTTGCTGAGTGAGCCATATTGCTTTCCCTAAATTGTCCTTAGGGTGGTACCATATCATAGTCTTTTCTGTTAACGGATAGGTAGGATATTGTTGAGATATATAAAACCATTAAAAAGCCCTCACCCACCAGCTTAAGCTTTTGGGTTGAATTGGTTCTTTACATGGTATCAGAGCCTCGTGTCCCGGGTTTGATCCTCACCGCCTCCAACTTTCTTTCAAGTGGAATTTCTTTCTCTGCACAGGTAGGTGGGCCTGTGCATTGTCCACCCTTCAAGCCCATTGGGCTTTCGTGTGAGGAGGTGTGTTGAGATATATAAAACCATTAAAAAGCCCTCATCCACCAGCTTAAGCTTTTGGGTTGAATTGTTTCTTTACAGATATAAAACTAGTAGATCATTGGGGGGTGAGAGGCATGGTGGTTGAGGTACGCTGGGAAGTACAATGGGTGGTGGTAGAATGATGGGCATTCTTTGTATCCGACATGGTGGTAGAGGGTCTCGGTCTGATGGTAAGAAAAGGTTATCGGGAAAGGTAAAGGCTTGCTATTTGGAAGGAGGATTGATAGGTTGATAACAATTGGACAAGGTGAGGGAAGATCCAGGTAGAGGAGGCTGAGATGAGATGAATAAGACCAACAACGGGCTGAACAGTGGCTGAACACATTGCTAGAGTTGCCTGAAGGACGGCTTGTGAATGAATGGACAAAGAGACTCCCCAGTGCATTAGGGTGGGTGAGAGGGATGCAGCGCCAATTGGCTAAACTGCGGATGATAGTTAGTCCAGCAAGGTTGCCTATACGAGAAGAAGTGGCAGTTGGTGGTGGACCACGATGCCTGTGACGGGCTTGGTAGCTGAAAAAAGGATGAGTGTGATGAAGGTGCAAAAAAAGGGACCAAAACCAGCAACAACAAAGGAGGCTGCAATGAAGGCAGGTGTGGGTTAGCAGATCTCTTTGATTGGGAGCTTGATATCACGGAAAAGCAAGAAGCAAACTATAGTTGCTAGATCAATTGTAGAAGCTAAATATTAAGTAATTAGAATTTGACTAGTGAACTCATCTAGTTAAAGCAGTTGCTCAAAGAACTAAACAGGTTGCGCTGCATATATCTTCAAATCCTATCTTTGATGAAAGAACTAGAACTAGATATACTTAGATCGATTGCCACATTATTCTTGAGAAAATTTAGTTTGGAGAGATTGCAACAGATTTGTAAACTTTAATGACCAACTTGCAAACATTATCACAAAGGCCCTTAGGGTCCCCAGTTCATCTATATATGTGACAATTTTGGTGCATATGATATACGCACACCAGTTTGAGGCGGGGGTTAGAATTTCTTAAATATATGGTAACATATCATGTATATATGATAGAATCAATTAGGAACTAATTTAGGATTGTATATCTGCATAATTAGACTTGAATTATTGTAATTAATACTAACAGTAATATATACATAGACCTTGTGTGTACTTTCTAGACACACAATTCAGCCATAATTAGATTGTTCGTGGTATTCTGAAATGGTATCTTCATGGTATTTTATTGTAGTCTTCAAAAGTGTTTCTCTTTAGGAATTCCTCTTTCTATTATTGTTCCATTGGAGAATATCATCACATTTCTTGTAATATTTTCCTTCTGTCTATGAGATTCTTATTTTATTATTAAAATTGATGGAAAGTTCTGCCAGATGCAGTTATTGTGATTTTGACTCAAAAAGGATCTTTTTTTTTATCTACCTTGATTGTTCTTTTTTATCTACCATTCAACCATAATTGTCAAGCATGCTGAGTGAATTGGGCTAATAACTATTTCTATAAAAGGAATTACTGATTAAATATTGCATCACCGATGATATTCCATTTTATTAAGAACTGAGATCTGTTGAATACAAAGGGATTCAGAATCAGAAAGTAAAAAAAAATTTATTCATTATATGTTTGCTAGGAATGCCAAGACTGGTTCAGCTTGTTTCTAATGTGAATTCACTTTTCACTATAGGTAGAGATTTATCCCCTTAAGATCCATTTAACAGAGACGATGTACAGAATGATGTGGGAGTATTTCTTCCCAGAAGAAGAACAAGATTCCCAACGCCGACAGGTTAGTTTAGGATTACAAATTTCGTATTTCCTTGTCTACAAAATTCAAGGCACAATTTGCATATGAATTATCATAAATTAAATTGGTGTTTATTTATACAGGAGGTTTGGAAGGTTTCAACCACTGCTGGTGCAAGGCGTGTAAAGAAAGGTTCAGCAGTTCTTGAAACTTCTGCTTCGAGCAATCACTCAACAAAAGAGTCCGAGACCTCATCCAAATCTGGCATATCCACAATGCTATTTCCTGCAACAAGTCAGCCTTCAGTCAATGTCGATTCAGCTCAAGTGAGTATTTGATTAATTGTCTAATACATGGTTCTCAAGTTAGGTTATTTATAATATCAGAGAATGCTAATGTTTGGGCTGCATTGGTGGGAGAGCTAGGGAAATATAGCTTCTTTTTTTTCTTTTTCTTTTTCTTGTGTTCTCCCATTAACTTTAGATGCTAGATTTCTCAAAAGGAATTTTGCAACCTGCTTGCAGGCATCCAAAGTGCAAAATGTCAAAGCAAACCCTGGTACTGGTACAACCCCTGAGTTGAGAAGAACATCATCCTTTGACAGAACTTGGGAAGAGACTGTGGCAGAATCTGTAGCTAATGAACTCGTCTTACGAAGCTTCTCTTCCTCTAAAAATGGCCCATTTGGTTCTACTGAGCAACAAGATGAAGCTTCTAAGAATAAATCAAAAGATTCCAAAGTTGTCAAAGGTGGCCGATCATCTCATGAAGAAAAAAAGGTGGCTAAGTCACATGAAGAGAAGAGATCTAGGCCTCGAAAGATGATGGAGTTTCACAACATCAAAATTAGTCAGGTTGGAGGTTTTGGGCCTTTTGGTAAAGCTGTTATCTATCATCACATATGATGCAATAATTCAAATTTATGTTAAAAGTTGTGCATTATTTCTTGCAGGTTGAGTTATTGGTTACATATGAAGGGCAAAGATTTGTTGTAAATGATCTCAAATTACTGATGGATCAGTTTCACCGAGCTGAGTTTACTGGGACTTGGCGAAGACTCTTCTCACGAGTTAAGAAGCACATCATCTGGGGAGTCCTAAAGTCTGTGACTGGAATGCAGGTGATGAATGGCTTACAGTTACCTTCTCTCCTTTCATTTTTCTTGTTATATATACCCCCGCAAATTTATGAAGACATTATAAAACAAAATGCCGTTATAGTAACTTGGCAGAATGAAACTTGAGTGAAGTGGTTATGTTTGTGATTCCCTTTAAAACAGCCTTTACAAATCAAGAAAAGTATTCTATATTAATTACATAGATCCATCTGATGACAACTTGTTTCTACTGAAGTTCCTTTAAATATTTTTATTTTATCTGGATCATGCAGGGTAAAAAATTTAAAGACAAAGGTCAGAGTCAGTCCACTGGAGCTGGTGTTCCCGAAATTGACCTTAATATTAGTGACGATGAAGGCCAGGCAGGAAAATCTGATCAATATCCACCCTCTTGGCCTAAGCGTCCAGGTGATGGTGCAGGTGATGGATTTGTGACATCCATTAGAGGACTATTCAATACCCAACGCCGCAAGGCAAAGGCATTTGTGCTCCGAACAATGAGGGGTGAAGCAGAGAATGATTTTCAAGGTGATTGGAGTGAAAGCGATGTCGAGTTCTCTCCTTTTGCTAGGCAGCTCACCATTACAAAAGCTAAAAAGCTTATTAGGAGGCACACTAAGAAGTTCCGCTCCAGAGGACAGAAAGGTTTGTTCAAGTGTCACTTTCATGCTAGTGCTTTAGCCTTTATGACTACTTAATATTCATTTGATTCATGGACAACTTTTTGTTTTTTTTTTGTTTTTTTTGGGATTTCCATTAAAATAGGAATATATTTGTTAAAATTACAGGGGTTTAGCCATAAGAGAGGAAAGCAAATACTTATAATGAAATTATATTGATATTGTTGTGAAGGATTTGATATTAAAGACAAAATAATAACCCCTATTTATACGAATATTAGACTCCTAAAATAAGGAAACAAATAATGGGATATAAGAAAGTATAGAAACCAATCCTAAGAGATCATCTAAGATACTCTAAATTATTTCAAAATATAATCATAATATTACAATATATCTTCTAGATATTCTATCACTTCCAATCAAAGCTAAAGCTTGCTAAGCTTCAACTTGTTACAAATGACATCTTAAAAATAAAAAAAACCAGACAAAGACTAACAGAGCCAAACTGCATATTTGGGACAAAGACCGGTGGGTCCGAATTGTATCTGGGACAAAGACCGGTGTGACTATATTGCACCTGGGACAAAGACTGGTAGGACCAAACTACATTTGAGAACAAGACTACCATGGCCAGATTGGGTCTGGGACAAAGACCTATTGGGCCAAACTGTATCTAGGACAAATTTTCCCCTTCAATGTTATCTTGGCATTCAGAATGAGACAATTAACAGGTGGATAAATCTGGAAAGAGGACAATGTGCATCCAGACATTAAACCATTTTCTGATTGTGGGAGTTGAAAATGAAGTAGTTCATAAGTCATAACTCAAGAACTTGGCTTGCAGCCTAGACAAGTAGCTCTGTTTTGTTTCCATTTAGCAGAACTGAACTTCAAGGAGTCTATACGACGGTACTTGACCAATGAAAGCATAATGAAGACTAGGGTGATGAGCAGGTATGAGCTAGCTAGGTCTTTCGCAGTTTTACCACATGGGTCATACGTTGCATCTTATGTTCAGCAGAAAATTCACGGTGACAATGGCACCACGGGCATGGCAACATGATATTCCAGTGTCTATGTCACATCATGACAAGCAACACAACAAGGCACCTTTGACTGACTACGCACCATGACGAGGAAGGTCACCACCACCTGGACAACAAGCATGCAAGCTTCACTCTTTAGCAGACCAAAACAACAATGTGAAGAGCAATAAAGGGAACAAGTAGACCAAAATGACTAGTAGCAGAAGCAATTTGAAGAGGGGGCATTGTGGCAACTATTGCACCAAAATTGACTGGGAAACAGGCCATACACATGCATAGACACTTTCGAGGCTGTGGAGGATGACAACACCCAGACAATGGGAATGGCGCATGGGGGCACATGAAGAGACGACTGGAATTGAGACTCTGGCAACAGAGAAAACAGTTGATGGCAAGTCTGGCGGTGTGTGTTTCGGTTGGAATGGTCGTTGGACATTTTACCGGCAACAATGGTTGGAAAATAATTGGTTTTGACTGTCGAAAAGAAGGCACAATGGTGGGGACTAAAAAAATTGGTGGATAATCATATAAAAATAAAGTAGAGCTCTAGATTATAATAAACTCGGCATTAAAATAGTGATGGATAAGTCACAGAGAATGATATCATTCAGATACCATGTTGAAATTATAAGGATTTACTTATAGGAGATTAACAATACTTAGAATAAGATTATATTGATATTGTTGTGAAGGATGTGATATTTAAGATAAAATAATAACCCCTATTTATATTAGTAATAGACTAATAAAATAAGGAAACAAATCATGAGATATAAGAAAACACGGGGACCAATCCTAATAGATCATCTAAAATACTCTAAATTATTTCAAGATACAATTAGAATATCACAAGATATCTTCTAAATATTCTAACAATAGTACTAAGAAAAAAAGGGAAAGTACATTTAGGGCCAAAAATTTATTATTAAAGAGTATAAGAAATCCCCCCTACAAAGAAAATCGCTCAAGGGGCTGCGACAAAGTTGTCGTAACTGTTTGGTTATCAGTAATATAAATTCCCTTCACAAAATTATGAGCAACCTCCAAGCTATAAACACAATCCTATCCTAAACAAACGTAAGGGAAAAAGACATTTGAAAATACTGGTATTCTTCTCCAAGTAAATACACCAGAGAACTGCAAAAATAGCTGCTGCAATAAATCCATACCTTCCTTACTCTTGCCAAAATCTTTAATTTTTATTTTTTTGGGTCTTCAATTCTGAGAAGCTAAGCACCAAACAATAGAAGGAACAAGCCCGAAACCAGCAAAACCAACCCAACAGGAAAGCCTTGCCAAAACCGTCTAAATATGTGATGAGAAACTACTCCAAGGTGAAAGGATACACCCAGTGTTCACCAAGAATCCCTAATAGATAGTTCCATTAAAACCTATTTGTTTTACAGTACAGATATATTGTTGCTGAACTAGATCTGCAATTATAAAGTGCAGCGGTACTAAAAGAATGCTGGAATTTGGAGGGAGTTTCAGACTTCCAAATGGGTTTGTCAAGTTAGAATTTCAATGATTAGGAGAGTGACTCTGAAAGGACTTATATGGAAATACACCAAAAAAGTCAAAATCTGTATTCTCCTATCTGGATTGTTAAGAGATGAATAGAATTTTAACGAACTATGGTTTAGCCCTTTAGGATCTTTGTGGTAAGGTATTGTTTTCATTTTATTCTTATTATGCTATACACTTGTTAGAATAAATTATGTGGGTGGACAAGATTTACCTAAGTTGCTATTATCTCCTCACTCTCTTTTCCGTGTGTGCATTCCTCTTTTCTAAACATGGTTCAAGCGTTTTCTAAACCCTTGGTGCCTCTTCTGCTGAATGCCTGAATCCTAGTGCACAAGTTCTGGATAGCTCTGGTTGATTCTTCACCTATTCTCTTTTTTTTCTTTCTTTCTTGGTTTCAAATCTTTAAGACTGATTGCTTAAATAAAGTAAAAGCATCATGGTCCTCAATTCACTAGTTTCTCTATTACTTGGTTGGATTACAAGTGACTACTACCTCATCGTGGTAACTATGTTTTGGGGATCATTTTTAGTATGAATAACACTTGTATGTCATTTAAACTGCTGGCCGTGTGTTGTACTGCCTAAATTGGGTGCTTTTATTTTATTTTTTTCTGGGGCTGATTGTGTGTTTACTTTAGTTGTTTGAATACCCTAACATTAAGATTATGCTAGCTTTTTGAATCTAAACTTCAGAACAAACTCACTTTATCTTTTTCAACTAGTCGTATGTTGCCTAGGCTTGAAAAATTAACTACTCAAAGCAGTGTGGCTTTTGGTGAAATTTGTCATTTCCTTTGAAAAAAACTCTGATGTGTTTTGATGTTTTACTTCCCGATCTTATTTATTCATCTCTGCTAATTAATTCCTTTCGTGTTCACTTGATTACTTGAGGAATGACGTTTCAATCACTTGTAGGTTCATCTTCACAACAACGAGAATCACTACCATCATCTCCGAGAGAGACAACTCCATTTGACAGTGATACTTCAAGTGGATCCTCACCATATGAAGATTTTCATGAATAGAAATGTTTTTAGTTATCTGAAGGATTTCTTACTTTTCAGCTGAGCATGACGCACACTTCATCTATTTGATGGACGCAAAAAAGGTGACAGACAGATGATCTTTCTCTATTAAGAAGTACCTCAGTTGAAGACAAAAAGATAAAACACTTCTTGAACAGAGGGGCGCCTGAAATGGAAAGAGAACTTGGGACTCGATATTTGAGCAATGCCATTGATTGCTATTCAATTTGTATTTTCCGTGGCAGCCCTAGTCATCGGTGATAGAGGCTCGCCTTGCTTTCATCTCTTCTCTCAAGTCATGTGCGGGTTGTATATTCCTGTAGCTTATGCTCAATGTGCAATTTTAGGCTTCTTAATTTATTAGAAAATAGGAGTCTGAAGGTTGACATGATTTTGTACAGACATTGATTATATTTTGAAAAATAGAATAAAAGCGTTATTTTCTTTTGCACAAGAGATCCTTTTTAGATTTTTATTTCTTTGAAAAAAAAAATATCTTAACATAAAACGTAGACAATAGGTTATTATTTCATTTAATTTTGATAGATAAAAATCATTGTATAAACATTATCCAAAAGAATAAGGCCAGTATAAGGTACTTAGCGGGTAGGATGGTATCTATGTTAATCCATAAGAATTTCAAAACAATGCATAAAATTTTAAACATTTAATTTACAATGATGTTTTACGTAAAACCCAAGTCATACTGTATAATAACAAAGTTTGCTTGTGAAAATTTAGAAAAGTACATGTAAACCTCCGAATCTTTAGCTTATTTACAAAGTGTCACTGTAATCTTCAAAATCATTACAGTTAATTCTTAAATTATACTAATTACATTAATATACTCTGTCATGGCTGGGTTCAAAGCCAAGACCCAGGTTTGTCAAGCGACCTCTTACCAGTCCCAGAGAAAAAAGATCACGTACCTAACATGGTTTCCCCCCCTATTATAAATATAATTTTTATCTTTTTAATTATGAAAGAATAATAAGCATATAAAATTATAATTAAAAAAAATACTGAACGGCTAGAAATGTTAACAGATGGATGGCTAAATTTCAGCCATGTTACTCTTCCCATAGTAACTTAACAAGGAGGTGGATCAATAAAAAAAATCATTGTGCTGTTTACAAATGTGCCAAATATTCATCAATTATATCCCCAAAATGACATGTAAACATCACCAAACCCTATAAGAAAAAGATGCAATTCAAGAAAATAAGAGAAGAGTTAAAAAAAATCATTAGACGAAAATAAAGGAACATAAAACTCAATAGATTACAAGTCAAGCAACCTTTAAAAAAACGAAAATTTTATTTCATTATGAAATTTAAATTTGATATTTATTAACCGAGTAAAGACCTTTTTGGGTCCTCAACAAAAAACACGATGTCCATTTTGATCCCTTATAAAAAAAATTAATCTCGAGATCTCTAAGAAAGACAAAGTAGACCCATATTAGTCATTCTGTCAGTGAACCTCCCATGACATTAGTAAGCTGACGTGTAATGTTAATCAGCTTAGTCACATTCCATGTAGGCCTTAAAACTGCGTCACTTATGTTGTTTAACCAGAAACACACACATTGGGTATTCCATCTTCTCTAAGAGGGATCAATGGCAGTAACCCTAACTTACTGGGTACACACACATTCCCCGATAATTTTTCATCTCCTCAATGATTAATAATTGCAGACTCATAGTTAGCTCAGGAGTAAGAGGTCTAGACTTCATTACTTCTTTGACAAACAGCACCAATAATTCCTGAAACCATTGGCAATCTCTCCAAGGATCTCTCAAAATTATAAATGGGAGAGAATCGTTTCAATGGAAGCATTCCCACACCCATTGGTCGTCTTAGTGGCTTGAGGTTGTTAAACTTGAGCTACAATTCAATCTCTGGAGAAATCCCACACGAGTTAAGCCAGTTAGAGGAACTACAAGAGCTATCTCTGGCTGGAAATCACATATCGGGAAGTATTCCAAACTCCCTTGGTAATCTCCTAAAGTTAAACCATATTGATTTGTCAATGTACAACGTCTATACAAACATTTGAGGGAACGGGTCAATGAGCTCCTCTATATTTACTTTCTAGCTGGCAAAAGGGGGTGTCTAGCATAAGACTTATCTCGTTTCCTTCTCAAATTTGACAGAACCCAATATAAGAATCCAGCAGAAAAAAAACTAATAAACTAAGCATTTTTGTAGATCACAAAAAAAGTGTTAGGAATTGAAGTTGCAATTCCAACATTCTGCAAGAAACCAGGAACTACTAGTAAAATTCCAATAACTAGAGCCACAATTGCTTCCATATTAAAACCCCCTGAATAGAAGTATGCCCCATCTATAAATCACATAAACTTAAGTTTGTTTTTTTGTATTAGATAGTAATCCGCTAGAACAATCCTCCAACAGGACCAACTAAGGCAGAATATCCAACTAACCAAGTATAAACAAAGCTCTCACTTGACTTGAGAAGCCTACACGGTTGGAATGCAATTCCAAGTAGTGCAGTTAGAAGAGCTCCTCTTCTAAAGGTGAACCAAGTGGGGTTGAGATTAACAAGAGCATTTGCAGGTGCTACAACATTAGCAGCAATATTGGTGGTGATTGTAGCTAAGCTTATACGAAGGATTGCAAGGATACTTGTTGTACGGCCACCAATTTGACCAAGAAGTTGAATTGGGTTGGAAATAACTTCACCAAATATCACTTTTGTAGATGAGGTAACTGCTAGACCAACAAATGTGAATGCCCCCATAAAGATTGGAAGCCCAACATGACCAATAGTTTGATCATTCTGGCTCTTCTAACTGAGGAATTCAGCCAAGAAAATTTAATAGGAATTGGTAGCTTTGGTTCAGTATATAGAGGCCATATAAGTCATGGAAATACTGTTGCAGTCAAAGTGCTTGACACTCTAAGAACTGGTTCTTTAAAGACATTGTAGCTTTATCTGCTGGAACAGCAGTTTAGTTTAGTTTTTTACTCCGGTTATACAGAGACGCAAGCATGTAGAACAAGAACTTGAAAAAGCACATGAGGAGATCCCAGAGTACAGAATAAAATCAGAGGCTGCTGAACAAGCGAAAGTCCAAGTACTTCAGGAGCTGGACAACACTAAGAGGCTAATAGAAGAACTAAAACTTAACCTAGAGAGGGCACAAACAGAAGAGCGTCAAGCAAGAAAGGACTCGGAACTTGCAAAGCTAAGGGTGGAAGAGATGGAGCAGGGTATTGCAGATGAATCTAGCGTCGCGAAGAAGGCACAACTTGAGATAGCTAAAGCCAGGTATACAGCTGCTATTACAGAGTTAACATCTGTGAAAGAGGAGCTGGACGCACTGCATAAGGAATATGCTTCCTTAGTTATTGAGAAAGATGAAGCCGCTAAGAAAGCTGAAGAACAGTAAGGAGAAGGGCAAATTTGGGGCTTTTCACCCTAAATAACAATGTGGAATGTGAATACCCAATAGGATGCCATTTTAAGGCCTATGTGGAATGTGACTGAGCTGATTAACGTTAGATGTCAGCAACGTTACTAACGCCGTTGGAGGTTCATTGACGGAAGGACTAACTTAGGTTCATTTTGTCTTTCTTAGGAATCTCGGGACTAATTTTTTTTATATAAGGGATCAAAATGGGCACCGTGTTTTTTGTTGAGGATCCAAAAGTGTCTTTACTCAAAAAAGAAAAAGAAAATTAAGTACCCACAACTATTAATTTTTTATTCAATCATATGTATGCTAAGAAGAGATGCCGTGCATATGTTAAGCATGTCCCTATTCAGCAAAGAGATGCACCCCAAACAGGAAGGTTACACTTGAAACATACCCCCAAATGAAAATGTCAATATTTGACGGAGTTAGAGAACAACCAATTCCCTTTTTAACAGAAGATATCATGTCCTATGTTTCTTCAGGCTCTAAGAATTATTTCTTTCCCTTGAACACCTCATAGACTTTGTTCACCCAACCGTAAATTTCTTCCGAAGGGACTAGCAATCATTAAAACCGATCACTTACCCGAAGTTTTGGAATAGATCACAATTTAAGAAGAGCAGAAGGGAAAAAAGCACACACAAAACACTATGAAGGTTCAGTTCTTAATATATCCAGAATTTTTAGGGATAGTCGCCTAAACATTAAAATAGAATGGTTTGTGAATAGATCACAATTTCAGAAGAGCAGAAGGGGAAAATGCACACACAAGACACTATGAATGGTTTATTTCTTGATATATCCAGAATTCTTAGCACAAACATTCAGAGCTTTTTAACACCACAAACAGATTATCTGTTTTGCACAGCTTACGGGAGCTACTCAAATAGGCTATTGAGTACTACAACTGAAGAAACTTAGCTTCACAATGATAGCTAAGACATCTAACGAATAATATAATGAAAAGCAACACTAGACCATCAAACAATTATCACAAAAAATACGTTACCAATAAAAATAATTAGATACATGGAGCAAAGAACAATCAACATCTTAAACATTAAAAAGTTAAAAGGTAATAAGTAATAACTAACAACATTCGGGGAATGAATCTCCATCCAAAGACTTAAAGTAACAGTTCACATTCAGCAAGGGTAATCCTTGAACCTGGGGAGCTTCGAATCAGGTACTTCGCTACTTCAAAAGGAAAAGGTGGTTTTATTTCTGCATTCCTTGATTTCAAAGCTTTCCGAGCTTTTTTATATAGAGATGTGTACAGTTTCACTTCCAATATCTTTAAGTTACCCAAGCAAATGGCTTCCGTATTCAATAAATCTGATATTGAGAAAAGAACCTACACAATGAAGGGCCAATTGAACTTGTTAACAAAAGAATTTTTAAATGACAAGATTGAGGTCCCACCAAAAATTTTGCTCCAAAATGCATCCTAAGAAAAATTACAGGAAATAATGCACTTAAAACTAAATGAAGATACCTCAAGAGCTTTTGCTGAGATTGTCAACAATCTAACATTAGCAAATAATTGCAACCAGCTAACTAGGATATCAGCTGAGTGCAAGTCACGCGATGGCGACCATTGTTCGGCATCAATACTTACTTCTTTGATAAAAGAAAGATTGCTTGCAGAGATTTGATGAGCAATAACACCCGTGAAAGCAAAAGAACAAAGATTGGGAGTTGATAACATAATTTTGTAAGCTTTGTAAGCATGTATGGTCAAGTTGACAAGAGTAGCATTTGAAATGCATAGGGTTTGTGTATCCCTTATAACACAGTTTTCAATGACCAAAGTCTTCAAATTAGTACATGACGAGAAGGGTGCCACTATTCACTGTCACCAAAGGAAAAGTTACGGAGACGCAAACTTGTTAAAGCTGTGAAATGCAGTGAATTAGGAAATGAAGGATTAAATCCCCCAAAAACTGAAATATCAAGAGATGTTAAAGTCTGGCAGAATAAGTAAGGTAAAACTTCGACATCACAATTGACAGAGAGTTTTAATTGCTGGACATTATGGGATGCTGCATATCTCAAAACCCTTGTCACAAGTGGGGGAGAAACACGACCCTTATAATTGAAGTCAACATTGTGGATTGGAACAGAGCCATCACGAAAAGATAGAACCTTAGGCACAAATTTGTTGAAAAGAGACTTTAATCCAAAATCTGAGGAATGTAAAATGAGCGTAGGAAGACGCTTCCAGAGGTCCTTCCATCTTGTCGACAACACGCAAGTTCGAACAGCATCTTTTGTTGGTACAAATGACATCAAGTGAATGAGAACACTATCAGGAAAATCACTGAGCCTGTCTTCATTGTTCTCATTCTGCTTTGCTCTCTTCATATGAGGTTCTTCACTCTCATTCCCTACCACCTCCATTTCACTCCGACGAACAAGCATTCGAGTATAACAATTCTACACGGAAAAGTGAAAAAACCTAAGAAATGAAACTCAGAATTTCTCAAATCAAAATGGGATTAGAAATAGAATACCTTGTGTAGCTCCAAACGCAGTGAATGCCCTCCAGGATCCAATTTTTTTTCTTACTGAACGAAATCGAAACCCTGTTCTTGTTCTTCTCCCTTTCAAAACTCTCATTTTATTTGGAAGTGAACTGACGGTTACAAAATCATTTTGTCTTTTTCTCCTTAAAATAATAACTTAAAAAATAAAAAATAACTAAATACTATTATTTGATTATTCATTCATCTTATTAAACCCAACTCGATCATTGACCCGGCCGAAGTATTGAATCACTAGTTTAACCAATGAGTCATTGGTCCAGTAAATATATGAAAATTCAGAGAATGGATGTTCTCATGTATTAATTAACATAATCACGTCGTGTGGAAAGATTCTAGCCAATCACTAGCGCCTAGAGGGTGATGGGAAATGAGAGAAAAAAATATTAAAATAGGAAATGACAAGATCACCAATGTTGATTTACTCATGAATGGTTAGGATCATCTCATATGACAAGGTCATGTTAATTCATGCACGAGAGAATCTACTCTCGTAAACTTATATTTTATACTAAAAAATTCACAAACATACTCAAATACATGTAAAAAATTATACCAGTTTCAAATATTCTAATATAAAAAATAATAAATCACACACCACTATCCAACAAACAAAACATTTAATATCTACCACAAGTATACAATATTAGCTTATGTTGCTATCAAGAGAAAAAAAATTCAATTTGTTAGCACAAAAACATACAATCATGTCCAAGGAGTCAAAGCTATGTTAAATTCATGCTTTCTTTCTTCTCAAATAAATTTGAAACTTGGCTAACATTGCTTTAGTTTGGTTTGCATTTTCCATGGTGTTGACTTGTACCTCATCTTTATCATCATCACACAAATTTAATTGATCTAAAAGAAAAGTCATTTTTCATGCAAGTTAATAATTAACATAAAGTGATCAAACAATAAAATTATAATCATAATGCAATAAATAAACACACCATTATCATCTAGAGCTCCTTGAACATAAATATTTGCATCTAAAGCCTATATTTCTTCGGTAGTTAATACAGTGGTTATAATAACCCTAAAAATTAAATTGTATTAATTAGGGATTAATGTGTAATTATATGAAAAAGTCAATTTTGAGTTAAATTATTTTTTGGGGTAGAAGTGTAAATTATGCAAAATTGGGTAAGACCCTAAAAGGAATTAAGTGTGATTCATCTTGCTAAACCCAACTAGTGAAATGGTTCAAATAAATGGTTGTGGGAGAAGGAAAAACTAAAGGGGCAAAATGATCTTTTCCCCACTCAAGATTTTGTTAAGTCAAAAATCAAGAACTCTCTCTTCATTCTTCACCCTTGACCCATCGACTCCCCCTCCCTCCTTCATTTTTGTTGCTTTCCCTCCTAAGAAAGAGAGCACTCTATTACTTCTCTTTCCTAGCTCACAAAGCCAAAGGAAATCACTACCCACTCCTTCCTTTCCTCTCACCTCCACCTTTGGGGCAATCATGAATCTAGAAGATGAGAAAACTACACTCTTTCTTTGACCCATTTAAAAGTCATGTTGGAACTTAAGACAAGAAGGAGATTTCGCCATTGTTGGGGGCTTCAAGCTTTATATCTTTGTATTTAAGTGGTAGAGGTAAGAATATATGACCATTATGATTCTTTAGGATTTTATGATTATAGGGTTTGTGGAATTTGGGGATTTTTTTGGTGCTTTGAACCATGGGTAGTGAAATTAATGTTTCATTATTGTGTATATGGCGTAAGAATGTTGGAAATGATGGAGACTTAGTGGAGGAACCACCATTGGACCCAACCTTAATTTATGGTTTCATTGGTGTGCCTTTAAGAAATTGGAGTAAGTAGCCCTCAATTTGTAGTTGATAAATTGATATCTTGGTTGGTGAATTCATGTGTTGAAATATGTTGTTCAATGAGTTCACTATACGTTTTAGGTGTGGTTTGGTGACTTATGTAATTATCACTTTGGTTAGAATGAAGTAAGGGCTTTGGATTTAAGCTTATAAAAGATAAATTCTTGGACCTTGGGATTAGTCCCACTTGTTGTTCGATAGTGCTCCTTTAGCCTTTGTTTGGAAGTTTGGAGGGGAAGGGAAGGAAGGAGATCCAAAGGGGAAGGAGGGGAAGGAATGGAAGAAAATTGAAGGGTACTCCTTTCCCTTGTTTGGGAGTTAAATGATGGTAAGGGAGAAAATATAGAGTTAATGAGATATTTTTACCATTTTATCCCATTTTAAAAATTAATAAAATTATTATATTTTACAAATTAAATTAAATTTAAAATTTCAAACAAAGAAAATTTCACCATAAAATTATTTTTTCGTTTAAAAGCGACAAAAAATTTTCTCTGATGAAAATTTTTACAAAAATAAATTTTTTATCGAAATTTTTGAGGAAATTTAGTTTTCGTCAAAAGTTTTGATGAAAATGATTTCCTCCATCAAATGTTTTAAATGAAAAAAAGAATTCCGTAAAAAAATTTGACCAAATGTTTTTCGTTCAAAATTGTAATGGAAATGTGTTATGACAAAAATTTCGACGGAAATTATTTTGTCAAAATTTTTGAGGGAAATGTTTCATTTGAAACTTTTGACAAAATTTAGATTATGTAAACAATTTTGACAGAATATTTTTTTCGTCAAAAATTTTTACAAAAATATTTTTTGTCGAAATTTTTTGACCGAATGTGTTCTATTGAAAATTTTGATAGAAATGTTTTTTATCAAAAAACTTGTCGGAAATATTTTCCGTCGAAAATTTTCGATGAAAATGTGTTTCATTAAAAATTTCAACAGAATTTTTTTTTTCCAGAAAGTTTAACGAAAATGTTTTCGTCGAAAACTTTCGACGAAATTTAAATTCTGTAAAGAATTTTGATGAAATTTTTTTTCGTAAAATTTTTTCGATGGTAATGTGTTTCGTTGAAAATTTTGATATTTTTCTTCACAAATTTCGATGAATATGTTTTTTTTGAAATATTTTCAGGGAAATGTTTTGACGAAATTTAGATTCCATAAAGAGTTTTGACCAAAAAAAATTTCCGTCACATTTTTTTATAGAAATATTTTTATTCACAAATTTTGATGGAAATATTTTTCATGGAAAATTTTTGCGAAATTTTTTGATGGAAATGCTTTTCGTAAAAAATATTGACATAATTGTTTTACGTCAAAACTTTTCGATGGAAATATTTTCGTGGAAAGTTTTGACAGAATTTAGATTCTATCAATAGTTTTGACTGAATTTTTGTTCTGTAAAAGATTTATGTCAGTGATTATGGAAAAATCTGTTCCGTCTCTAATTTCGTCTTTAGTTGTGAGAGAAATTTTTTGACGTATATGATTTTCATCAAAAATTTCATCACTATTTTTGACAAAATATTTTTCGTCGATAAATTATGTCGGTATTTGAAACTTTTCTAATAATGTCACATTTAAAAATGATTCACATTTAAGTAGTTTTCACATTTTAATGCTAAGGCTAAATAAGTAATTTTTAATATTTTTCCTCTCAAACCCTCCAAATTGGGGAAACTTTATTTTTAAGAAGAACGAGGGTTTAATAAAAATCCTCAATATCTTCCCCTCATTTTTTTAAACTCACAAACAAGGGAATGACTTACCAAAACCCTCCATTTCCTTTCCTTCCCCTCCTAAAATCAACTCCCAAACAAAGCCTTAGAGTAATGGTTATTATATTGGATGATTGGTTGATTGTTAGTTGTATGGTATAGTTGCATTAATGTAGAATTGTTGTGTATTAGTGTACATGATGATTGGTTCTTTTGGTAGTTGATGACATGGTTTATTAGGTGAAATAATTAAGTTTACACTCTTGAATGGGCCTAAGTCACAATTAGGGACCTTAGGATTCGAGCTTAGTGCGCTTAAGGTCTCTAAAACGCGCTTCAGGGCAGTAAGCCCCAAGTTGAGGGTGCTAAAACATGCTTCAAATCAGTAAGCTCTAGTTTTAGGGCATTATAGCGCGCTAAATAAGTGTAAAATACTTGTTGTGCGTACTACAACGCTTTATTGGGCGTTGCAGCGTGCTAAACAAAGGCAAAACCCACTGTTGCGCGCACTAAAGTGCATTGTGCTAGCTTCTTTAATTCCTCTTTTATCCCTCTAGGCTTTTGTGGGCCACTTGTTATGTGGTTGTAAGCTTATGTAAACCTTTTTAACCAAGATAATTTTTATAACTAAGGAGTTAGATGTTAATGAGTGTGAAATTAATCTGTTATATGAAATGAAAAATTTTATTCATATTTTTGCCATAACAACCTATTATTTCACAATCTTACACATCATGAGATTATCTTAATGTTAAGTAGTAATCAAGGATTAATTCTAGCTGCATTTAATACCATAATTAAGTTAATACACCGGGTGCACACATGGTGTTACAATGGTGACCCCTCCAGTACCCAATTAGAGTGGTCCTCAATGTTTCAAAATTTATTGGGTCATATTTTGATGCTTCAATCGATCCTATATTTATTAGTTTGCCTAATTTTCAACATTAAAAAATACTTGGAGAAATATTTATGTAAAAAAAAAACAAATAGTGAATAAGCATAATACCTTTGTACGAGTCTCAAGTTGTAACTAACATAGACAAGATCATTAAGCTTTTGATGCTCCAATATATTTCTCTTATTTGAATGAATGTTCTCAAAGGCACTCCAATTGTAGTCACAACCTGAAGCACTAGAAGTTCGGCTTAAAACACGAATAGACAATTTTAATAAGATTCCCATTATTGTATATGATAAAATAAATTAGTATTACTATTATTCAACAATAATAAGAGTTAATGCTCACAAAAAGGTATCAACCATGAATTTTACCTGTCATCGGTGTATTTCGTTCACATTTAGCACGTGACCTTCCAAAATATAACTCATCATTTTTGAATATTCTTATCTCACTTGTCAACTTGGAATTTAAATTAGGATCCCCATAAGCATATCTCTCAATGACATCCAAAAAGCCTGATGTTGTTAATTGATATTCTTTGAATTCTTCAACATTATGAAGACAACCTGGGTTCAACCAATAAACAACGGTATGAAGATTTT